TTGAAGATCTCAAAAATACATCCATAAACACAAACACTATGGCAGTAACAGAATGAGCGGCTGAATTCTATCCAGTTTAATACGTTTGGATGTAAAAATCATCTGTTTTTAAATCCAAATGTATCTATTTTTGGATGGAATTGAAAATCAAGATTGGTTAATACAGGGGTAAAGTAGTGATTACGTTTTTGCCGGGCACTACGTGAGATTAAGAAGACGTTGATAATTGAGATGTATTGTATTTTTGGCACATTATTATACATTGTTATGCCAATAGAATGTCTTTAGCAGGATATATGGTATTATCCTGTTAAGCTTCAGACATGATATCATAGTTCTTCACTCCCTGCAGAGGTCTCATCCCCCATCAGCACCGCCTGCCACGCCCCATAGACCGAATCCTTGTCTACACTATCTACCACAGTTGCCAAGGTAACATGTGTGTGTGCGTGTTATGGGGTGCAATGCTGCTGGGGATTGGTTGCCAGGGGCTAGATGCTTTCCAATCAGACCTGTTAGTGGGGTGTAGGAACCCCCTGAAAAAAACAAGTCCTAGAGAGCTGAGAAATGAAGAGGCTGTGTGTGTTGAGGCTTCGCATAATCGTGTTCTGGAAGGGTTAGGACACAGTTCAGGATTCAATAACGAAACAAAAAGATATCTGTTAAAAACCACAACACAATGCTAAATATTTATTTCAGTGTTTTAGACAGTGCACTTTCCCCCTCTGCTTCCTGCGAGGGACGATATCACCACATCTCTCTGCGATGATGCAGTTGTTTGTGGTTTTTGCATGTGGCTACCTGGCCCTGCACTGACCTTTGAGAAGTTGTGAAATGTCTGAATAAAATAAGTGATAGAAATTGTATGAATCTCGTGTGTGAGTGAAGATGGGTTGATTAGGAGCTAGTTTATTTCCAAGTTAAAAAAGGCAAGTGTGCAATATGACTATTTTTACTGTTTTTATTTTTTATATGGGAAGCGCTTTGTGACCCTGGTCTGCAAAAGATACTTACTCTACTTAAATAAACCGATTCTGATTCTATTCTGAATAGCTCTGGTGTAAGTCAAGAGTGATCGCTTTCTCTTATCAGATCGTCCTTTGCTTTGCTGCACCAGGAGTCCTGAGGCAATCAATCGCTGCCTGTCGTGGATCCAGACCCAGTCTTTTCTTGTTCATCTTCCTCTCACTCTGTGTTTGCTGCTGACGATGATGTCCTGCTCTGCTGCAGCAGTGCCCTACAGGAGCATTTTGTTTAAGAGCAGCTTAAGAGAACTATTGGTGCAGATTGAATAAATATTTCATTTATTTTGCTATGAAATCAAAATAGATGTAATATCTAAATTTAATGAACTAATATTTGTGACACTACATGGTGGATATTGACCAACAGGGCAGATTTTGCACCATGACACTGGAGATAATGGTGTTATTAGCCACGGCTCTTGGAGTTGCTATGGGTAACCAGACTGACGTGGCTAAAGGTTCATCTGTATTGGCAGCAGACAGCCCGCAACACTGATCGGTGTAAATCACTGACGTCTAGATGTAAATAACAGTGCAAGTCCAGTTCTAATGCCCCTGCTCAGTGGTGGCCACTCAAGCTGCAAGTCTGAAGCTGAGGTTAGACCACTCCTCTTCATCACAAACAAGCAATCCCTCTCACTCACTAGTTCAGTGACACCGAGCCGCGTGTCTGTACAGAAAATGTTCCAGCGTTTATTTTGAAAACTAAAAATGTGGTTGTGCAATTTTATCCTCACTGTGTTGTTCTTCACACACTGTTACAACGATAGTAACACTAGAAAAAACTACAACACCACTCCTGATGTAGCTGTAGCTAAACCAGAAATAAAACAAAGTAGGTCTTGGCTACATACACACCCTGATTGGTTATATTTTGGGTCCCTGCCCGTGCGGCGCATCAATACAATATTGTAATACAAATATATACAATCTTTATAATGCTGTGGAATTTCTGTACCAAAAGAGCAGAAAGAATGAAAAATACCAAGAGCTGCTATACAATCAGAGTGTTTATTCATTAGTAAATGTGCACATATACAAAAAAAGGGGACCAGATCACCCACACCTGGCAGCGCTCTGAACCCTCTGCCCTTAAAGGCACACCGCGGACTTTGTGACCTAAAGAGTTGACACATATGAGTTATTTTATATGAATACTTGGGCCAATATACAGCGCTTGACACTTGCAATGCTCCAAGCGGGGCTGCCCTCTTGAAATACCGCCCATGTAAGTTTCGAGCAGACGGACCGTCTGCCACCAGGTCACGTGACTTGGAAGAAAGACTTGCTTTACGGCTACAGGCGCTGATATACTCATGGAGCTAAGGCTTTTGCTACTCATTTTTCACCTGCTCGACTCCTGGTCATGGCTGAGGCAAGGAAAAATTTTAAACCTTCGGAGGAGGCTAAAAAGAGGAAACGCGAAAGGGATCGTGCTGTAAGCTGCATGTCTGTATGAGCGCTGCTCTTCACCTGGTTCCTGGATGTCATCGACTGCAAAGATGTCATTCCACGCAGCACGAGCTAGACGCAGAACTCCCTCATCCAGGATATAGAAGTCCATGTGTGGTAGATTACTAATGCAGCGGTCTGGAGGCTGACCACAGCAGAGTCTCTCAATAACTGTAGGCATGTCTCTACAGTTTGAACACACACACCAGTGCATGCTGTCTGAATACACACTCAAAAGACACCGGCTGACTGTTTGTTGACTTTTGCGACAGTGCTGAGTTGCTTGTGGCCACTAGGGGCGCTAAACGTGAAAGTTGCAGGTCTAGCGCCCCTAGTGGCCAAGAGTTACACGGTGTGCCTTTAAATACACAAGAGTAAATATCTACTCTAGATATTGAACAAATGGAGTCATTGTTGATATGCGTAGCTCAAGGCTTCTCTTTACACTTTCTTACTCTGATACCAGTGGGGGCGGGTCACAGCTCAAAAAGGTCCATGAGAATGTGTGCTGACATACTTGCAATACTACCCCGGGCCAGTACCCAGAAAGAGAATAGGGCTGGAAAGCGGAAGTGCGAGATTTTGCGAGATTTCCACCCGCGGATACAAACAAACCACACGTGCCACTTGTATGGTGCTGAGATCGCCAACTTCTTCCTCCTTAAAAGGACTTTCCTGTCTTATTTTGGACACATTTCGTCTCTGCGACAGAAAAACTGAGTGAGCGGTCGGAATTAGCTGTGAACTGACCGACCATGTCCTGAAGTTTCTATGACGGGGAGATGAGAAAGGTGCAGAGCCGTGCTAAAACTTATTGTTTTTTAATCCACTATTATGCATCAGAAAGACAATATAGAAACACTATTCCCATGCAAATACATTGATGTCCCTTACAGCTATCTTTGCTGCGTTGGTTATGAGCCAATGTTTATGAATGATATGTTTTCTATCTGTTCATCAGCTCCATTTCCACTTCACACTCACTGCAGCTTCACATTGGGCCTTTTTTCTTTTTGCTGTGCTGTCAAACATAACATGATGTAGTTGGGTTACCTATTCATTTGCTACTAATATTATGATTGTCCGTTTTCTGTTATATTTGAACATTTGTTAAATGTTATTTAATATGTGCTAATATGTTCCTCCTTTATCTCTCAAATAAATAAATACATTTATCCTGTGTGACAACAATAAAGTTAATCTTATCTTAAAATACAAGCCACAATGAAAGGCTCGGCAGCGCACTACAGGTTAGCATTAGCTACAAGTTAGCTTGAATACATATTCAACTTAACCATCTGTAAAATCAGACAAAATGTTGTATCACAACTGTATAGCTTTTTACACAGCTTCAGTTGGTCTTTGGGAAACCTAAAAAATGAGCATGCTTCATGAAAACTTTGATGATGACAGCCGAAAACAAAGCAGAGCATTTTGCACCATTCACTTAAACCGCCTCTTCGAACAGCTGACGGTTTGTTTGTATCCGAGCAATGAACCGGAAGTGCTTCTGGGACTTTCCAGCCCTATTACCCAATGCCTTTGCATCATGTCTTCTTTCCTCTGGAAAACTTCTTTACAGGATGGTCCAAAAGTCACTCTTGGCTTAAAGCTCTGTTTCAGATGCTGTTAATGCTGAGGGTAGTATATTTTTTGAAACCAGTCTAGTTTAGTCGCTGTGGACTTCAGAAGGCACTCATTAAATGAATGGTGCTGGTGCTGGCTAATGCATGCACCAAATGTTTTTTCAAATTTTTCTGCCTCGGAGCCGTTTTGAGCCCACAGAAGCCGAAAGTGATGGCACATTAGTTTCAACGGCAGAAATGGGTTTGATTGTCTGTTTATATTTACAGTCTATGTCTGATACAGACAATAATGCAAAGGTTTGACCTGGAGCCTTCTGTCCTCTGACACAGAAATTGCCAAAAACATGTTGCAGATCTATGAGCTTACCTTACTGCCAACAGAACAACAGATAATATGTACTGTGAATCAAGAGTTGAGGATTAGTTAAGATGAGGGCGACTTTATTCGTCCCACAGCCGAGTTAACAACGAGTATTTACTGTTAATTCAGATTTCTTTACAGGACGATCAGCTTTCTATAAAAGTCCCATTAACTAGTAATATAATACAATTCTAGAGTAACTTACCCCGCACTGCCCACATAGATTGGTGCTGGGAACTGTTGATTATTGCTCAAAGAAGAGCAGATATACTTCGGTCAATCTTTGTTTTCTAACATGGCTAATTTACATCCACAGTCCCTGCCCACCTCCAGGTCACTGATAACCATGAAAATAGATGATGATTTTCACTGTGGGAGAGAAGATAGCAACGCTCACAGGTTAGAAAATAGATGCACGAACAAACACGCTCGCACACCCCTGCTCAAAACTCATTACCAAATGCTTTTGCTTCCAGATTGAATGTCCAGCCAATATTTCAAACCTCATCATCATCTTTCATTCACATTACAACGGGCACCATGGCGGGCACCGAGCCAGATCATAAACCCCGCCTCTCACAGTCTGCTCTTTTGTTGTGACGGAGTGGGCGGGGCATCATCATCCTCCTCCTCCTCTTCATCACTCGTTGGCTGTCTGGGCCTTTTCTGCAGCTCGCTCATCTTGATCAGAACCGCCTTTTCACCCCCAAGGTCCCATAGCGAGGGTGAAACTAATCCAGCCAAATGGATTTCATCAAGCCAAATGGAAAGGTAATGATACCTCTGGTGCTTGGGCCCCAAAATGTCTCCTTGCTCTCAGTATTCTTTTCTCTATGCACCATTTTCTAGCCGGTTTTAGGTTACTTGCTGAAAATAGGCGGAGTCTTTCTTTTCTTTTCACACATAAATACGCACACACACACATACACACACCCACACACATACACCCACGCACACTCACATACGCACATGGAACCATATCATCGGTCCAGCTGACATCTCGTCCCAGCCGGTTTGGTCCCTGAGGGCAGGGGTCACTTAATAGACTGCACACAAACTCACAGGTGACATGAAACAAATGGAGAGGGGCAGCACAAAGCCGGCGGCTCTTCTTTCATTAAAATACTTTAGCTCAAAACTTTTTCCCTCTATTTAGCATTTTTAGTGTATATCTCTCCAGACATACTATATTAAGTATCATGCAGTTGTTTTTCTTTTATAAGATGCTGTTACAAATCCATAGTCAGTTGGAATATACTGTCGGTAGGTACTGGGTCTTGTTGATTGTTGATCAGACAATGGTGAGAACATTTTCAACACTGACTCAGTTATCCATTTAGAGTGAATGTCATGTTTCAAATTGTGAAAATAAACACCTATCCATGCTCGTCATAGCAGATTTCTGTTTGGTCGAAATTATCTCAAATCATTGAGACTATTGGTTTAACTATTCTACTTACGTTATCCCAAGAAGAAGGACCAGGTTATATCTATTCTTGTTGAAAAATACTTACTGTAATAGGACTATAAAATCATTTCCTATAGTCATAAAAATACAGTACCTTCTGTTAAATATGAAATACAATTTATGTTACTAACGTCACCTTTAAGTCATGTTAACATGCAGTAATTCAATCCCTCGGCCACTTAATCTGGAAAAAGTCTGTTGCCACAACTGTGAAAATGATGGATGGCAAGAGTAACGTGACCTTTCGTGAACATTTTTTGGTTTTGCATTCGCTCCTCTTCTTCACACTCTGATTTAATGTCATGTACAGCAGTGATGTAGGATTTGGGTGGAAGGGGAGTGGGTCATCTGTTCAGGTGAGTCCATGTTCCGTGTCCCAGATGGAGCATGCAGTCATATGTTAGGTGTTGGGCTTGGCTGGAGGCAGGGGGGATTATTTGGACACGCAGATGTGCACATGGATGTAATAGTTGTTGCTGTATTTCACACACTGGAATGGATCCATACTTTCTCCTAAAGTGGAGATATTTCATGCAGAAACAAACATTTTAGGGAAAAAGAAATCTGAAGAGTGATGGGAGTGCGGGGCGTGTGAACTCTCCTCCCTGTGCAAGCATTCCAAGCCATCGCACACATGAAGTGCATTATCCATCCACACACGAGACCAAATGTGTGGATTTATGGGATCGATGACTGGACTTTTCACTGAAACAAGAGGGGATCTTATACTGAGGCTTGTTGACTCCTACACGCAGTAATTGGACAGGGTTCTTTGAATGCATTTATGAAGGTTGAGAATATGTTTTATCAAGCCATTACAGAAAATTGGAAAAAGTATATTGAGAACTGTTACATTTTATTCATTTATTTTTTCTGGTTTTTCATTTACTCAACACACAATACAACCGCAAAGCTAGCCCACCAGACTCTCTGACCATCACCATTCTTTCTTATTGTACATGTTTTTAGTTGTAGAGGGAAACGAATGCAGTTACAGGGAGAACATGCAAACTCCCTACAGACGGGCCCAGTCTAGCCAGAGAATTGAACCCAGCCGCATTTCAAGTTTTTTGGGATCTTGTCTAATTTCTAACACCACATAATTTTCCAAACATACCAAGTAAGAGCTGGTATTGCCGCAGAAAAACAGTCATTAAAAATAAAAGGAGGACCTTACCAAAAATAATAGTTTTCTGTTGACATTGGTTGAGAACACATTAAGACCTTTTTATTTTTGTTGACATTTTTTCTCAGATTTTAAAGATTGTATATCCTCAACGAATGAAATACAAATATGCATTGAATCCTACCAAATTCAAAATCCCCTCTCCCAAGATACAAATTGTATCTGCAGACTCTGAAAAGTACCCAGTCCGAGTCAAGAGCACATACATATCTCTCGAAGATGATCATTCTTCACCTCTCTCGCTACCTGCCATAAACTGTTCCTAACCTACAGATCCAGAAGGTGTTCAACGCAGTGACTTTTCACAGTTGAGTTGTTTTGATATTCATGAACTTTACAGACTCAGTGGCATACAGATAAAGCCGTTCCGTCCATGGTATGTTCTGACAACATTTATCCCAATGCATAAAAAAGCAGCTTCCTTCTCCTACAGTCTAGTACGCACCTCATATCCTTGACCACTCAACACTCCGGAGTGAAGAGGGAGTTTGTGCAGTGCTTAGAGGAATATCACAATAAACCTCCCCGCCTCAAAACCTGGGCCCGCTCCAAGCCTCAGATATTTCACTTTTTGTCGACGGGACACTTTTCATTCCAGCACACTTCTCTCCCCCTTTTTCTGCGCCCCTTCTCCGGCTCTGTATCTCCTCACTTTCCAAAATATCCATACCCGAGCGGACCCAGGCGCACAGCAAACAGTTGGTTTATGAAGCATCACAGATGTTTTGACGGAGGTTTTTAGACCCTTGTGATCCGTGACATGCTCACATATGGAAATGTTTATGTTTGATCACTTTTAGGGCTCAAGTCAGAGGTTTTTGTACATGTAGCACATATAGCAAAACAAGGTAGCATTAATACATAATCACATTGAAAAATGAATAAAGAATCACGGTACATTAAAAAGAAAGTTGAAAATATAAAATCCCTCAGTTGTATGCACAGCTAAACAGAACTGTTTTTTAACCTGGATTTAAACATTGTCAGAGAAGAGGCATGTCTCAGATTTTCAGGAAGATTGTTCTAGATTTTAGCAGCATGAACCTGAAATGATGCTTCCCCATGTTTTGTCTTGACTCGGGCACCAGCAGGAGGCCAGTCCCTGTGCTCCTCAGAGTCCCAGCAGGAGGCCAGTCCCTGTGCTCCTCAGAGTCCCAGCAGGAGGCCAGTCCCTGTGCTCCTCAGAGTCCCAGCAGGAGGCCAGTCCCTGTGCTCCTCAGAGTCCCAGCAGGAGGCCAGTCCCTGTGCTCCTCAGAGTCCCAGCAGGAGGCCAGTCCCTGTGCTCCTCAGAGTCCCAGCAGGAGGCCAGTCCCTGTGCTCCTCAGAGTCCCATCAGGAGGCCAGTCCCTGTGCTCCTCAGAGTCCCATCAGGAGGCCAGTGCTCCTTTGAGTTTGACTTGGTTCGTATGACACCAACATGTGACTTATGTACATGTCACAGAAAAATATAATAAACATGTTTTCGCACCAGAAATGATATGTTTTGTAAAGACTTCCACATGTTCTGAGTTAAGTGAACACAAATGTCCCTTTTCAGTGTTTTGACCATCTCAGTCTTCCCTTCCACACCTGGTATCTCTTCATCTGGGACCACTTTGACGAAAAGCCAAAGAAATGCATCTCGTTTCCGACCTCCCAAATCATCCAGTCGCTTTATCAATTCTCCTCCATTAGTGAGAAGAGAATGTGAGGCCGGCGTCTTCTCTGGCAGTTTTCAAATCAAGGTTAAAATCAGTTCTGTTTGACTGTGGTAAATACTGATTGATTTTTATCTTTAGCTTTACTCTTTTCAATGCACTGTCACTATTTATGCCATGTGTGATTTTAATGTTTTAAGGTTGGTAATTTTTCTTGGGATCTTATTGTGGGATTTTAATGCCCTGTGGGATTGTAATTGTATTTTAATTGTTTATGTAGACATTGAATATGATGAATGTTTATGATTTGCTTTATTGCCTAGGGCTCTCTAAAGTTTATTGAGCGATTAAAAGTTGGTTCAATGATTCAAGAATTTCTCATCTAATCGGAAAGAAAAGCCCTGACCTAGTTGTGTTGGTATTGTTTTAGACGTATGTGATCTTACCAGGAGCATCCCAGTTCACGTTTGCATCAGGAGTTTGGGCCACAGTGACATAAAGCAGCTGCCTCCTCTGCACATGTTTCTCGTTGACGGTCAAAACCTGCGATTTCTCCGACGTCATTCCTCCGTTTTCCTGGAACCAACAAGAGTTCTGATTAGTTTAACCCGCTGAGGAGTGTCATTACTGTTAGGTCAGCGAACAGAAAACCATGGACATGTTAAATTAGGGAAACGATTGGCTCATTAACGATATCCACATTCTTAAATAATGGTAAATATCAAGCCAAGCCATGTCTTTTCTTTAACTTGTTTGAAGAGAGTTAAGATTAAAATTAAGATTATAATTTATTTAGTATCAGTATAAGTATCTATACTTGTATTAGATACTTTATTTGTAAATTTAAATTTGGATTAGGGATGCTATGATCTAGCTTTATTATGTCACACACAATCATTACTGTGGCATTTAATATCTTAGAATAGAGAGAAAGAGTATAAAATCACAGCTATATTGTTACAATGTGACTAATTGTGTGTTTTTATACTGTACTATAATATAATATATGTACTAAGAGCCGATAATGTGATATATGTACTGTATGTGACTATTCATCAAACCGAATTTCTCCATTGTGAGATCAATAAACTACTGTATATCCTCTTCTTCTTCTTCTTCTAATCAGGATATCAATAACCGACATCATTGATCCCGATCCAACAACATTTCCAATATCTGATACCCATCTTTGTTAGCTTATCTCTGCTTTATATGAAATCTCAATAAGATTTCATGTCAATCCACTTCTATATTCAGTCCTGCCACATGGACCTGTGCTCTGCCGCTTTATGCTTTGTCGGTGAAACGTCGTCACATCAACAACAGCGTTAATATTTATTTTTTCATTTCATTCATAAAAGAAAATTGGCAAACAAAGCAAAAAAATAAAGTGGCCGTGACTCATCGCTATAGACAATATTACAAACTTGAACAAGGCCAAAAGAAAAGCCCTCAATGGTCTCGCCCCGCCGTACTTGTCCGAACTTTTGACTGTTGGTGACTCAGGCAGATCATTGAGGTCATCGACTCCAAACACTGGGGAGACCGGTCCTTCTCCGTCGCTGGACCCAGACTCTGGAACAAGATGCCCCCTGATATGCGTGTACTCACTGATTTTGGCCTTTTTAAATCGAGGCTCAAAATGTATTTATTCAGACTGGCTTTTAACACTTTTATCACTCAATAGCAGGTGACACTTTTTATATGTTTAACTGTTTTATAGTAAATTGATTTTTATTGTGAAGCACTTGGGTCGCCTTGAGTGTTGTAAAGGGCTCTATAAATCAAATTGATTGATTGAAAATCTGTGAAAAGTAAGTCCTTATAAAAAATATAAAAAATCTTCATTAATTTTGTTCATCCCAAAAGAGTGTCAACAAATCAGGAGCAGATGCAGTTTTCACCTTTAGAAAGCATTTTATCGTCTGTAAATGTGTAAGAAAGAGCTCTACGAGTTAGTAGGTGTCTTTGTGCTGCAGCCCGGTACTGGCTTCCGTTGGATGCTTTGGGCAATGAGCTCCTTTAAACTTTTCTCGGTTAAAAAGTAAAACAAATTCATGGTACATTTTGGAAGTCAGGCAAAAAAAAAAAATGAATCAACTTAGATTATTGCATTAATCTTTGTATGGAAACTGCTAATAATAGATTCATTACTCCCATTAAACCATTGCTACATGATAGTGTATATAATTCAGTGTGTTTTGATGTTCTTTGGGTGACCTTTTGAAACTACACAAAGTTATTTAGTGTGGAGGGGATTTAAAAAGACTCCCATTACAATATTATGAATTCCACGACCCAAAGCATCTTACTGCTTTATTGCGCTGGGCCAGTTTTATGGGTGTTTATGAAATTCTTGCCAAGCCAAAGAAGTGTTTTGAGTTAGTCTCCGAGGGCCACCACACCCTGTCCGAGTCTTGGTCTACGCAGCAGAGGAGTGCAGGAGGTGGCTTTATCAGCTCTGAGTAATGGCTCCTCAGTGGCCCTCACAGGAAAGGGGAATTTGTATCTATGGCTCCAAGCTCAAAGCAATTACATGATTCATTGCAAACACCCAAAGCTGTCAATCAAGTTGCATTACGCTGATAGGCTGGTGGGCGAGCAGCTCCAGCCCAACTGTTGCTGAATTTTGTTATTACATTTCGGGCCAATTCGATCCGGTGAAAGAGAGGAGCACCAGCTGCATCTACCGGCCGCGCTACTCCAGTCATCCAGGGCAGATGTGCGCATGCTGAAGTCATTGTCTTGGTGGGCAAAGACTTATTCACATGAGTAATGTCAGATTTTTCTAAAGACAGAACAGCTGAAAGATGCACCCTCAGCGCGCCTCCTTTACCGCCAGATGACAGTGTGCAACTGATTGGAACTGATTGCACTGCAAATTCTGACTATCTCACGTACTGTAAGTATGGATTGACAAGACACAGAATGATAAACTATATTCTTATGTCCAAAACAGTCAGTGCAATATCATGAAAATTTAAAATATTTACATTATTCACATTCATACAGTCGCTTGCAGGAATAAAATCATAACTTATGGTTGAGAAGGATGAATATAAACATGCAATCCTGCTAAGTTTGCAATAAAAGTGCTTGCCTCTGTTGCAGATTACAGGGCATGTCGACCTGGCCGTCTTGTTCAATCGTTTAAGTGCTGTGGCTTTTCCCAATTGACAGGTTATTACATAAAGTAACCTCATATACTGATTGCGGTTCACTATTTTACGTGATAGTAAAGAGACTCTGAATCCATTCCAACCTCATATTCTAAATCTATGGCACACCTCTGCAGTCGAACATGGTCGCAGGAGAAAGCAGCTAGCATATTTCATTCCATCTTCACGCTGTAGTATCAGATGGAGGAGTGTGTGTGCTGTGCAGCGGCTGTGTGTGTGTGCGCATGGAAAACTGGAGGAACGAGACACATTTTTCAGCAGCTTTACTGTGATAGAGGCTGGCCCATTTAATCCTTCAGTGCGTCAAATTAATTTGGTGTTCCTTGACTTCCTGGCTCAAAGCATTGAGCCATATGGCGCAGCTGGCCACTCTGGACGACCGCTCCACAGCAGAGGTACACACAGGACTCCCACCTCGCAGCACAAGTCTGTTTAACATATAAAAGCAGAAACCGAGACTGCAAAGGCGCTCTCTAGCTCCGACGGACACCTGCTTCCATACCATAGAGGATGAGTTACTGTAGTCGTCACTGGGAACATGTCACTGGGAACATGTCACTGAGAACATGTCACTGAGAACATGTCACTGAGAACATGTCACTGAGAACATGTCACTGAGAACATGTCACTGAGAACATGTCACTGAGAACATGTCACTGAGAACATGTCACTGAGAACATGTCACTGAGAACATGTCACTGAGAACATGTCACTGAGAACATGTCACTGAGAACATACAATACAATACAATACAATTTATTCTTGTATAGCCCTAGGTCACAACAGAAGTCATCTCAGAGGACTTAACAAAACCATTGAAATCACCAACACAGGTCAGAGAATCAACAGTTAAAACACATGAAGAATACAGTATAAAGCACACACAGAAGAAAATGTCCATACATGTTGTAGAATGCTAAAGTGTCCTGATCATCACCAATCCTTTCTGTTGGACACTAACTGTCCAACAAGACCCTCCTGCATCGACAAGGAAAAACTCTTAAAAAACCCAGTGGGAAAAAGTGAGAAACCTTGGAGGAGAACTAGGGAAACCCACAGGGAGGGAGACCCATATGAGAAAGGGATCCGCTCCTCCGGACGGACAGGCTAATGATCTAGGACCTAAGCTAGCTACAGAACGTGGACCAGTGGACGCTGAACGTGGACAGGTCCGGTGCAGGACCGAAGCACTCCCAGGCGGGTCGGGCGGGGCAGTCCGCAGGTGTAGATGGAAGAGGCCAGGCTCAGAGATCCCGTCATCGTACCATGAAACAGACAATGGGACAACGGGTGAATAGCAATGAACAAACTACAGTCAGAATCCTAAAAATGCTAAACAGATAAAGTAGGAAGGAGGAGAGGATAGTGCTCAAGTTACCATACTTCTCCCAGCAAACTGACTCCCTATGCAGCTTGACTAACACTTTGAGGAGTTTAACCTTCTCCGAGTCTTACCTTCCTAGCCATATGCTAAACTAAAGAGGACTGTTTTAAACCTAGCCTTGAATAAAGAATAACATACAGCATAATATATAACATAATATACAACATAACACAATACATTATTGAATAATATATAACATAATATATAACATAATACAGCATATATATATAATATATACACTACATATTATATATTACCTAATTATATGCTAAATTAAAGTAAAGTGCTTTAAGCCTGGCCTTGAATGTGGAGACCGTATCTGCTTCCTTAACATAAATGGGAAGCTGATTCCACAGTAAAGGAGCTTGGTAGCTAAATGCTCTGCCACCAACAGTGACTTTTGAGACCTTAGGGACCACCAGACGTCTGGCGTTTTGTGAGCGCAACGCTCGACCTGGTTGATACGACACTAACGTGTCTTGGAGATAAGACATGTCACTGAGAACATGTCACTGGGAACATACGACAGAGCAGTGAGCAGTTTGAATCAAAATGGATTTGTTTGCATAAAATCTTTCTAAACGACTCCTACGCCACTTCCATTAGACAAGACTCTGCTGGTGCCCAGAATCAGAACTAAACATGGGGAGGCTGCATTTCAGATTCATGCTGCTTCTTCCTGAAAATGTAAGACAGGCTTCTTCTCCAACAATGTTTAAACCCAGGTTAAAAACAGTTTATTTATTCATTCATTTAATTAAAAAACAGGACCATGCATAATTAGAACATAAATGTTTCAATTTGATGGATTGTACCGGAGTTAGCCATATGCTAATTTACATTGGTAGTCGCCCGCAGAAAGGACACTCCACGTACAGGTGGGAACAAAGTAGAACAAACATACATACCATAAAATACTCATGTGTCAGCAGATACAGTCAGCAGCAGCAGATATACACAGGACATTCGCACAGTTACACACATACATACAGGACCGACGGAGAGTGATCATATCTTTATTTTTAATTGACTTAGATTATTTATGACTGTATTGCTTTGTGTGACTGTTTCCATCTTGTTTTGTTCGGAACTCTGAGTTGCTTTGTGTATGAATTGTGCTCTACAAATAAACATATCTTGCCTTACAGTGTTTGTAACCCTCAGGTGAAGTTTGTCATCAGTAAAGAAAACATTTTCTTTACTATCCACTCGGCACGGTGGCTGAGTGGATAGCACTCTCGCCTCTCAGCAAGAAGGTCCTGGGTTCGAATCCCGGTCGGACCAGGGCCTTTCTGAGTGGAGTTTGCATGTTCTCCCCGTGTCTGCGTAGGTTTCCTCCGGGTACTCCGGTTTCCCCTACCACTAAAAATATGTCCAATAGTTCTGGCATGCGCCTCCTGTACTGGCGACCCGGCTCCCATCTCTGTGTGGAGTGAGAGACAATTGCCCATAATTAACAATTGTAAACCGCTTTGAGACTCAGATCTGCAGTGAAAAGGCGGTATATAAATAAAAACTTACTTACTTACTTTTTATGTTATTTTAGCTTGAATGTGTTCCAGACAAGATACAATGACATGTACAGTAACATCCAGTAATAGAACAGTAGGAATATGGGAAAAGAAATGGAAATTCAAACATACAAAACTCAACATCTGTGACCAAAATATTCATGGTGAGAAATATTACATTCAAGTCAATATAGATACATCATGAGCTCATCAAAAAGGTACATGGTGCACTTTAATATATCCACCTTTTTAAACAAATTATAGAGAGTTAATATAGAGTTGGAGATCTCAGTAGATCACACACACATACATTAAACTAAACATCTGCTGTAGAAGGAGGCCATTCGGAAATGAGGGCGCCCACCGCACTGTAAAAGATAAAACAGCCTCAACCTCCACCTGACTTTTATCACTTTGCACTTTGAAGAAAAATAATTGTGTAATAGTTTTAACATTCAATATTTCAAGCCAGAATCTATAGAGGCTGAGGAGAACATTTCCACCCGAACTTGTACTGCCTCTGGCTCTAAAAGCGCTTCGTAGAATCGCCTCTTTGTGTTTTGGAATCGTGGACATTAAAAAGAAGCATTCTCTAGATGCCTCAGCAGTAAGTGAAGCCTCTGTAATGCCTGGTAATTCAATTGTGCCACATGATTTCTTGGTGAGTAATCCACAAATGGGCACTCAGTGAAAACAGCTTGGCATCCAGGGCTAATGAAGTAGAGGCTCATGGGAGGAGGAGAGCGGAGGGTGGGGGCAAGCAGAAGGCATTGCAGACTCCGTGAGAGGGGACAGACTCTGCATCAAGGATAAATGAGCAAATAAAATGTTTTCTTGGGAGTGCTGCAACAGATTGGTTCGAAAACAAGTGAATGGAAAAGGCTTACTCATCATCCGCACACGCTGTAGAGCCATGTGCGGCGCTGGAGGGGTCTGGCTGGAGAGGTGCAGCTGGAATGTTTCAGAAAGTCCATTTCGGGTCAGTCGAGCGAGTACAACACCTCTCCAGGCGACAAACTAAATAAGAAAGTAGAGAAGGGTGGGCTGACTGTAATGGCTTCTGTCACTGGAGCAACATTACAGAGAGCGAGTCACCTTCTCTTCTTCCTCCCGCTGTCTGTGGACAAGGACACACGTTGCTCCCAATTCACTGTCTGTGGACAAGGACACACGCTGGTCCCAATTCACTGTCTGTGGACAAGGACACACGCTGGTCCCAATTCACTGTCTGTGGACCAGGACACACGCTGGTCCCAATTCACTGTCTGTGGACAAGGGCACACGCTGGTCCCAATTCACTGTCTGTGGACAAGGGCACACGCTGGTCCCAATTCACTGTCTGTGGACCAGGACACACGCTGGTCCCAATTCACTGTCTGTGGACCAGGACACACGCTGGTCCCAATTCACTGTCTGTGGACAAGGACACACGCTGGTCCCAATTCACTGTCTGTGGACAAGGACACACGCTGGTCCCAATTCACTGTCTGTGGACAAGGACACACGCTGGTCCCAATTCACTGTCTCTGGACATCTGGAGAGGACCCGCACTGTGCAGAGGAGAGAGCACAGCTACAGCCAGACTGTATTATAATGTCAGCTGAATACAGTTTACGGTACACTTTATGGTCCCCCGTAAGGAACTTTGTCCTCTGCATTTGACCCGTTCTTCCATTGCCACCAGAGCACCCCGTCAGGAGCATAATGGTGCTTGGCTTGGTCAGGACTGTTTTGGTAGAAGAAACCAATCAGGGCCAACTTGACCAGGCTTTTGACAGGGGATGTGGAGCCATGTTTATGCAGATTTGAGGGTAGTAATAACCAATCTATCACCCCCCCACTAGAATTTGGGGAAAAAACCTGAAAACACTAGGATTGCAGGGAGCACTAAACCATAGATTTTTAAGACAAAAATGATTAGTGTGACACCAAACAATGTGACAGAGGAGTTTAGTTTTCTAAACTAGGAGTTTACTTTTCAATTCAATTCAAGTCAATAGAAGCCAAATCAAGTTGGAGCAAACCTTTGCCCATGAGGTCTTCTGTATTGGGATTCCTTGAGCTAGGGGGTTAGCACTGTCTATAGTTGTGGGTGATGAGGGAGTGCTCCAAGCCCACCTCTCGGAAAATTTGATCTGTAACTTTGCCGGCATCAGTGTTGCACAAACGTTATGCCTTTGCAAGATTGTGCACTGAGCCGGATCAATCCACTGTCACTTTGATCAACGTCTCGATCCCTCTCACAGAAGTCATGTGCACAAGAAATGTTTCTTATAATCACAAGAGACATTCCTGATTAGATAATTATCTCACACAAATCGGTGAAGATGCAGGTTTTGTGTGCAATCACAGGGGGCTGTGTGCTGCTAATTTGTCCTCACTGTTCGACAAACAATGTGTGACTCCAAACGGACCATTGCGAGGCAGGAATGGCTCAGTTTCCATAGTAACCATTCTCAGACAAAGTGCTTGCCTGTAGCCACCCTGTTTTTCTGCTCATTTTTTTTTAAAGCTTTTTTGTTTCTCGATGTAAATCAACCACCAACAAGCTTTGTAAATAATAAAAGCAACAGGGAAGACGACTGAACTCATTAAAATCACAAACAAGGGAAAGATCAGGTGTGCAGTCTTTGCTACAGAAAAAAAACTGTTCTATTCTCAACACACACCTGGCACAAAAGCATCCTGCTGCCCAATCTAGCACACTCCTATTTCTGCCCTATATTTCATATTTAATCTGCCGCTCTGGAGGATTTCTTGGCCCAGTGCAATGTGTAATCTTATGGAGGGCAGATGGTAGTGTGGCAGTGTCAATCGGCTCTCTGGATTGGGACAAGGGAGTGGGTAGAGTTCTCTAGGGGATGCGGACTGCTGTGCCAGGATCACTTTTGGCTGGTCAGTCTGTACATAAGCAGTGAGAAGGCAGACACCTCACCTTCTGATCCCAGGCTAAGCCTAAGACACAGGAACAACGTTCAAACTCATAGTTGACATTGGACACAATTGCCTGTGCGGATTAGGATTAGCCTCGGATCATAAGTGTCTTGTTCACCGTCTTACACAAACAGACCACACACAATCACTTGCACAACTTTGGGAACTATGGTCACAATTGGGTCAGTCTCAAAAATTGTGGATACCACGAAAACGCATTGATTTCTTGAAACAAATCAAACAGAAAGTTGCGGAACAAAAATGAGCATTGCCAATAACAGTGGTGGTGGTTAATGAAAAGAAACCTATGTAGATTCCACCACCATTGTGGAAAACACTTTTGACTGTTGAGAATATTTGTTAATTCTTTAGTGTTTTACATCAAACTAAACTTCCCCAGAAATAATAATACACTTTAATTGTCCCAAATAGAAAAAGCTCACTGTCCATCATTTTTGGAAGTTCTATTTAAAACACATCATATCAATGGAGCCTCTATCTCTGTCTCAAAGCAGCATTCAGCCAAGCTTATTAGCAATCCACAAAGCACATTACTGTATGCGAGGCGCCGCCAGTGTCCACTTTTCTTCTTCCTACTATAATGGGGACTAGTGTGAAGTTTGGACAGTTCTTTTGAGCGGGCACAGCCATCTTGGATCTAGCACCAACTTTCGCACCTACAGTTACCAGACAGCACATGGGACCAGGAAGTGTTTGGTCCTCTGAGGAGAAAGTGGGAGATGAATGGATCCCGGAGCAGCAGAATAAATGATTGAATGGATGAATGGTTTGGGGCAATATTGAATAGAAGAGGAGGAGGAGGGAGTGGGCCGGAAGAGAAAGGAGCCAAAGACGATAATTGGAAAAGAAGCAAAAGTGGACACAACAAAAAGTTTCAAGTTGAATATTTGAACATGCAGCAGTTAATTTAAGATAATGCAAAATATGCCATTGAGTAGCAAATTAAATACTTGACAATGCAAATCATTAGCAAACAGAATGGAGGGAATTTGAGAGTACAAATCCACTAAAAGCATGGTACCGCTACAAGAAGTGCTTACACAAAGTAATGAACAACCGAAACTTTCTGTCTTTGGGTAAGGCAACAACATTTAGAGGGATGGAAATGGGGGCAACCAGCACTGGAAAAAGGAAACTGAATAACTAAAGAAATGAGCTAAAAGGGACAAATGGAAAATGCTTGCTAAAACCAGAGAAGCGGTACAGTATGTATGCGTAAGGCAGTATAGAAGGTGTATGGATGGACAATGCCAACTCTCTAGTTCAATGAAGCCCAGTAGGGAAGTGCAAATGGACAACGTTTTGCTCCAACTTGCTCTGGCTCCTATTGACTTACATTAAAAAGAGTAAACTTCTCTTGCTCAGTAAACGCCACATTCACCATTTCCAGCTAAACAAATATGTGGTTTAACGCTCTGTGTGATCCATGCCCATATAAGAGAAGTTATAAGTTAGCTTATGCTCAGATTTTTTTTACATATGGCTAAAACTATGGGTTATGTCAGCACTCGATTGGTTACCTAAAATACTGTCCATGTAGGTGATGCTGGTGTCATTGCCCATCAAATGTAAAGAATAACTTCAAAAATAACTTGAACGTGATAACTTGTTGAAAAGACTGGTTCAACAAGTTATTTTGGAAGTTGCCGTTATCTAAAGTGCATTATATTAGTATTGTAACTAAATTGTAGGATTATGTATGTGTTTGTTTGTATGGATGAATGTGTTTCTGCTGCTGGATATCTCATATGAGGGATCAACAAAGTATCTATCAATCCATCTATGTTTCTATCTAAGTTGCTAAAAATAAGCCTCAAAGTTGTGTAAAAGTCGCTTAAGCATTCTTCTCTTTTGGATGGGAGAAAAAACAACATCCATTAAACCTTCTCTTTTTCTTTATTCAATTAAAACATAGTCTTTAGTCCGAACTTATTTCCATTTAAAGTGGTTCTCACCCCCGCTCCTCGGAGCTTACGTCACTCATATTTCCTGTTCAAATCTTCCTCTAAATGGGCGTAGCCTGGAGGACTAAAGGGGGCGTGAACGAGACTGGGCCGTTTACATTGCTCTGGGCGGGGGGCTGCTGACGTCAGGTCTTGCTTCAGACGTCAGGTCTTGCTTCAGACGTCAGGTCTTGCTGCCGCGCCAGTGTTGGCGCCAGATTCAAAATTCAAATGTAGTAATACAGGTCTTCAGCAGATGGCGCCTCACAGACGGTTTTAGGCAGAACGTTTAACTTTCAACTAATTTGCACCAAAGTGACAAAAATATGACCAGGATATGTAGACAACACTATTGGACACTCATTTATACAGTTTATCAGCAAAGTGGATTTGAGGGTGAGTTGTCCTTTAAATAGTCAAGTGAGAAAATGATCCAGTAGGGCTTTGTAATGGCAGCCCTGAGTGCGTAAACCAGCCATGACAACCAAGCTCTCCAACCTCAGCAAATTGCTTTAAAACCCCATACTTTGTTGTATAATGTAGGCCATAAAACACAGAGCGATTTGAACACTCTGCCCTAATGGCCGTGTTCCCATATGATGCACACAAAGGAGTAAGAAGACAGAAGGATGTGGAGTAAAGCCGGGTCTGTTCTTCTAAACATTTGCTTTGGCAGGCTCTGGACTGACTGGGCGGTGCTACTCCGGTCCCCTGACATGCACAGAGCGGAGCCCCTGTGTCTTGACCATAAATCTGAATGGAGTGGGAGTTATCATACTTTCTACCCCCTTTCTCTGTGTCCCCTCCCCGACTAAAACCCCACATTCCTCCAGACGTGGCCTCGTACAAACAAAGTGGCCTGTTCCCACCGCTCTCCATTGGGAAAGACGATGGTTTGTCATGGAAAAGGCCAGAGGCATCTCAAGAGTCCATTTGCAGTTATTCTTTCGGTTGTGAGAACGTGATCAAACCATGTTCTGTTTTACGTTTTAAAATGGGAGCAATCGAGTTACTTTGAGGAAAAGCCATATTTTTGAGTTTGGTACAACTGTAGTTCACACTCTTGTCTTCAGGTTCAAGGTTTGAGTCCAGAGAATTTGTTACAGAGGGTAAAGCCTAGTGTATACTTGCGCGGCGCGGCTTACATTAGCGGTTGTGGTGGACCTCCGCAAGCACATGTGTTTATACTCCTTGTGGAGTTTTGAGGAGAATGTTGTAATTCCACAACCAACCACATGATGGCGATCTCACAGGAGTTGCCAAACTACCACTACCAAAGCGGTCTCATTTACGCTGCTAATTTCTCCTCTTCAGAACAAAAACATGAATAAACCGAGCTGTTTGAGATCATTACATGTGTTTCTACTGTAGGTTTATGTGATAGTTCTATGGAATCATTATTTCTTATCTCATTTAACTGTGATGTTGTGAGTAAAGACACAGTTCTTGTTGGAAACAGTTATTATTAAATTGTAACATGAACAATTTATAAGTGCACGAGGATTGCAACAGACGCGATAAGCTACGAGTGCAGATTCAAACAAAGACAGGAACAGTGCAAAACAAACGACTGCACAGTTTATAAGTTATATATATGTTAGATAGTGCACAGTCTCCTGTATATCAGGCTCTGAGCCCAAACTGCTTTTCCTTCGAAGCACAAAGCTCTCTGCTCCATAGTGCCTCGTCCATTGTCGCTGCTGCAATTGCTTCATGCTTCCGCCCAAAACACACACACGGACCAATCGCAGCGGAGCTTCCTTGCGGCGACCCTTAGGCCCTGTTTATACTGAGACGCTGCGGAGACGTTTCCAGGCTATTAACAGAAACGACCTGGCTCCTAATGCAAATTTCTCTGCGTTCACATGAGGTTGAAAAACGATGTAGTTCTAGCGCCCGGCCAGTAGTGGGCAGAGAAACTTTACAACACGACACACGACCCCCAGCCCCGTGCCCAGCCCCCCTCCCGGCAGTATATTCACTTCCTGTGCCAGACCCTCAGAAAGTACCAACATCATTCTGCATTTTAACAGCAGCTGTGAAAATGGGACCTGAACCTAGAGCTTCGCGTGGTCTCGTTTGGACGAACGAAGGAGTCGAATCATCCTCTGTGCCGCGCTCGAAGCCCACGAAGCTAGTTTGTGTGACCGCCACCATTGTTGTTGATGGTTGTTCTCCGCTACTGCGCATGTCCAAATTTACGTGCGGGGAGCAGCGCGGAGACGGGGGTCAGAGCAGAGGGGGATTTCACACCTTTTCCCTCTCGCGGGTGTGAAAGAGAGCCCCCGCTGTGCAGCGTTTCTGAGTTGTCCCACTCTGCAGGCTGGATCTGAACACTTACGTTTTCACCCCCCTGGAACACAGTCTTCGTATGAACGGTTGGTAGAAACCGACATCCAACTGTACCGTTTTACTGCCACATTGTCTCCGTGTAAACTCAGCCTTACGTAGTTAGAAAATGTTGATGCTGCGCGGCAGGCAACGTAAGGGCTTTGCGGTGACCAACGCGTTGCGCAAGTGACGTCACGTCACCTCCGTAAGCTCCGCGCGAGTATAAACTAGGCTTAAGTGTTAAATGTGGCTATAGAATTATCAGTAGATATGAGTGTTAAGGCCAGGAAAGTTTATTTGTACAGCAGTTTATACACAAGGCAACTCAAACAATTTAACAATATAGAAAATACAATAGCTTCACTAATAATAGCAGTAATAGTAGAGTAAGTAGTATTAAGCTAAGCTAAAGATGCTAAAGTTGCTATTTTCTTTGATCCTCAGGCCTGATCAAACTCTCCAATCAAGGATGCTATGCGAGTATAGTTAGTCAGGTACGTGAGCATATTGAGATAATTTGCCACGCCCCCTTTTTAATTGACTAATCAATTGACATTTGTTTAGTTCACAGAGATTTTCTTTGCTCAACTGCAGCCCTATATAATTACATATTTTTAGAACAGGAGTTTAATAGGGAAGATGCTCCTATTCTTCCCTCCTCTTCATAGACTGCAGAAAGATGAGAGGAAGCAAAGATTCTGAGCACAGAAAAAACAAAAAATTGTATCCATCCTGGAAACGTACAATATTCGTGCCATTACAGACCATTATTATGAATAAAAAGAATCCATTTGTGATCAAGCTTGTTAGAAGGGTTAGGTTTAGGGTTTTTTCTACAAAGCCAGAGAAACAAAAGATAAATTCCATTCCCCCCACATATATATTATGGCTTTTAAATATCATGGACATGGAGAACAAAGTAATATAACGTTCCTAGTAGTATGCATTAGTACTAGTTGTCATGATCTTATAGTGATTATAGCAACTTTGAACAAGTACATTTCTAAAAACCTGTGCCACTTTTATATTATTATTGTCGATACCTGTTCAAAATCCTTTTATCATGCCGAGTCGGTTATCAGCGTTTACCTCATCATTGCCCTTCGTGAGTTATGATTTTCAGAAGTTGACCAAAACAGGGTCATTCCAAACCCTTTCACTGCAGAAATGTTTAATTAAAAAAGCAAAGAAAAAAACGCAAATCCCACAAACACGGCAGGATGGACAGACACAAAAATGAGCGGTGGGTGAGAATTGGTGGAGGAGTCATTATAGAAACCCTGGCAACACATTCCATAGGAGTCTGCCTCCACCCTCAAAGAGACTCTTTTGTGCTTATTGAATGCACTGGGGTTACCGGGTTTCTCGCTTTAGGGTACACTGGATAAAACCCCCGCCTGGAGACAATGACCTCATCTTGACACCCTCCACTTGTTCAGTACAATCCTCATACATGTTTGCACTAACCTGTTTTTTGACTAGGTTTGTGTGGCAGTCTGAGAAGCAGGAAGTAACTGGTCTAGGGATGGATAGATTGGAGGGTGGAGGGGCAGGGGGGCGGCTGGGGGGTGCATGAAGGAAGTCTCAGGAGGGATGTATTTCTCTCTGCTGTCTCATTCAGCCATTGTCCAAATCCTCTGTAGATGACATTGGGAGACATATTAACACGCACATGTTGCCAAGCCCAAAAGATGTGGGCTTTCAACAGGAAATTCCTTCACAGTCTTTCTGCTGACTAAGGAATCCAAGTGGGAACAGTGTTGAGAAAGAATGTAATGTATACGGCGTGTGTTATTTGGGTCTGGTTAGGGCAGCACATGTACAAGCCATTAGCAAACTCACAAAATTAAAAGAAAAAATAAATGATCCATAAATTGTGATAACATACTATTCCATAATATTCTTTCCTTTGGACAACCAATAAAAAATCTCTAAATTGTCTGACTTTACAATTTTTCGATTAGCTAGGTTAGTGAAACAGCTAGCCAATTTATTGCTAGCCAATTATTTTGATGAGTACAGCTAGCTTGATGAGTACGTCTATGCTTTTAACGTTAAAATATTCAACCTTTAAATTAACCAGCATGTGGATGAGGATGTGTTGCGTATTTTTATCCAACAATCCAACAATTTAATCAAAATCCTCGCCATTATGGTACATAGGATTATAGTGAGTTTAGCCGTGAGATACGGAGGCAGACCATGAGGCGCAGACCATGAGGCGCAGACCATGAGGCAGACCATGAGGCGCAGACCATGAGGCAGACCATGAGGCGCAGACCATGAGGCCATGAGGCGCAGACCATGAGGCGCGGACCATGAGGCGCGGACCATGAGGGGCGGACCATGAGGGGCGGACCATGAGGGGCGGACCATGAGGCAGACCATGAGGGGCGGACCATGAGGCGCGGACCATGAGGCGCGGACCATGAGGCGCAGACCATGAGGCAGACCATGAGGGGCGGACCATGAGGCGCGGACCATGAGGCGCGGACCATGAGGCAGACCATGAGGCAGACCATGAGGCAGACCATGAGGCAGACCATGAGGGGCGGACCATGAGGCGCGGACCATGAGGCACGGACCATGAGGCACGGACCATGAGGCAGACCATGAGGGGCGGACCATGAGGCGCGGACCATGAGGGGCGGACCATGAGGCGCGGACCATGAGGCGCGGACCATGAGGGGCGGACCATGAGGCAGGGACCATGAGGCAGGGACCATGAGGCAGACAGGTGTCCCTCCACGTGACCCACATTAGCAGATATCCGTGGCATGTGGAGGTCTCCTTCTTACCGTACATTAGGTATTTTGAAGTGTTTTGAATCAGTAGTTAATCAAATGAAGGACCAGTAGTGACAGGGAACAAAGGTTTGTCCGCCAGACTGATGAGGCTCGGAGAAAAGGAGTGGCAGGTTTTACATGAGCCTAAATAGAACAACACTGCCATCTGGTGGACAACTTCAACCGGGCATCCTACAATTAAGAGAACCGTGCCTTTTCTGTCCGTGTGCCTGTATTTACGGTTTAAAGGTATTTAGGAGGATTTTCCCAAATTTTAGGAAAGAATTGCCCTCATCACCAGAATGATGGAGAATAAGATAAGATATCCTTTATTCGTCCCACAGTGGGGACATCAATGAACAGAACCAATCGTCTTGGAAGTAGAAAATCCTCCATTATTCAACCTTGCAGATTTATGGCCGGATTCTTACGTTTTCCCTTGAAATGGGACAAGGAACACTTACTTACGATAACCTGGATCCAGGATCGGAGTAACATTAATTAGAATGGTTGGGAGTTAGTGGTATGCATTGTTTTTTATGTTTTATTGTTTGCAAGAGACATGCTAAATGCTGCATATGAATTCCAAAGAGATGCACAAACACAAAAAACCGTCTTTATATTATGAGCAGCATTTATATTCCTCACCCAGTTCTGCTCTCGCTTCCACTTTTTCATCACTGTCTGGAGGGAAACTTTTGACTTTGTAGAAAGTAATAAATCCTAAAAATCTTCAAACCTTTTTATTTATTTACACATAAACTTCCGCTTTCCACTGTACATCTATAAACATTGTTAATAATGACAGTCAGAATTTGTCATAAGTAATTTAATGAGAATGAGAATCATTTATAAAATATAACTTTACATTCATTAGAAATAAAGTATTGAAATCATATTCAAAGAGTGAATCTGAAAACTGAGAGCTGTGAATTATTGACATGCAAAACATTGCCAACGATTTTAAAAAGGGGATAGAATGGAAACCTAGATTTGCATAATGACATTGCAGAGAAATGCAATCTGAAGCACTTAACACAGGATTTAAGTTTATTATTTTTGTATAAATATCACACCTCTATTGTTTTGTTAGGCCACAGTACACAATGTGAAAAAGAAAAAGCTCAAAGCTCAAAGCATTGCTTTGTGGCCCATTGAGCAACAGGCTGAGCATCATTATAAACTAAAGCTTAATTGTCGACCACGTTCTCCCTAATGACGGGAAAAAACAGAAGTTACTGTATATGTAGAAGATTCCAATCTTACCGCATACATGATGTCCCTCAACCCCAAAATAACAAGGAAAAAATGAATTGATAAAAAAAAGTTTAAATAAAGTGAACATCTTTTTTTCTTTTAGTCCAACTTAAATTCAATAATTGTTTTAAGCAATAAATGGGTTATGAGGTTTTTGTCATTAAAAAACAGCAATTATATGTTGTTTAGTCTTGAGTGATAGCAGCATTACTGCTTCAATGACAAAGTACAAAGAAACAACTTTTTTCTTCTGAAAGCAAACCTCTGGCACAGTCACTATTGGCCCCAAACTGAAGCCATTAGGGCCGCGAGTGCAGTCCAGATCTTGTCAAACAATGTCAGGCTGATGTCCTGCCAAGAAAATATTTTACAGTCTAAACTAACTTCAGACACAGCTTTTACATTTTCTTTGCCCAGGCCTCAGTTTTCTGCAAGGGTAACCTTAGGGTACAAAGGTTCAAACCCTCCCAAGATGCCAACGTTAATGACGGGATGACTTTAAGAGACAAGAAACACATTAAGCATGGGTTGTCTCCTGAAAACAAACTTTTATGGGACGTTATTGATCAATCCCAGTTTTCCCAGTCTTCATCCAGTTGCTAGAAAACACAAACATAATTTAGTTTAGTCAAATATTTTAGATATATATATTTTATTGTAAAAAATACCTCTCCCGATGCATCGATTTTGGAAAGCGCCATCTGAACCTCCTCCTCTGTCATATCCAGGTCAAAGTCCTTCTCCCAATCTTCGCTAACATCTGTGCTCGACCCTGGGCAAAAGAAGCAAAACAAACAGACAATTATCTTCACACTCTCCAGAAATGGTTTATTTAAGAATTACCCTTTTTTCCATTATTGGACGGTGTCGATTTTCCACTGTCAGAATTGAGCTCAAACACTCTTATATCCTGGGGTCCATCTTCTTTAACAGCCTCTGGTTTCACTGTGGCTCCTGACACTGCTTCATGATTAGCCTCTGGTTGAAACGACGCTCTCTCTGGCTTGTCATCAGTGTTTGTAATGTCTTCCAAAGAGACCTCAGTCATTTTCTTGCCTCGCTCGGTAACAAGTAGCTCTGGCTGTACATCGATCTGCGTTGGTAGACTGACACTGTCGCTGCTCACTGAGAGGCGTTCTTCACTTGGAGATAGGACGGGAGTTAAGAGAGAAGGTTCTGTCAGTGTTGATGGTCTCTGGTCCAGTGTTGGCGTTAGGGCTGGTCGATATGAAGTTGGAGTGGCACAGAGGAAATCATCTGCGACATACAAAACTATATGGTTAAAAAGTTACAAATTAGTCAGCACGGATAATAAATAGATCAGTTTACCCTCTTCCTCTTCTTCCCATCCCAGGGTCTCTGTATGCGTGCTTTGCTCTGCTCTCTGTTTCAAAGCCACTCTTCGTGCCTCCTCCTTCAACATGAATAATAAATGAGTAATTAATGTGGTATCTCTAATCTTTAGTAGTATGCTGCAAGTGTTGAAAACAGCCAGCAGATGGCATCCAAGACAAAGATAAGATAAGATAAGATAGACTTTATTGATCTCACACAGGAGATATTTACATGTCACATCTGGCATGGATAGAATCACTCAAGAAAAATAAAAAATGTGCAAAGAAAGAAGTGCGCAAACATGTTAAATGCAGGATGTTTTACGTACAATAAAAGTGGCAATTAAGAAACAGTGGCAAAAGTAGTGCAGGTTGTTTTTTCAGTCCTAGTGCAAGTGACTTGAAGTGACTTAAAGGACAACTCACCCTCAAATCCACTTTTTTTTGCTGATAAACGGTATAAATGAGTGTCCAATAGTGTTGTCTACATATCCTGGTCATATTTTTGTCACTTTGGTGCAAATTAGTTGAAAGTTAAACGTTCTGCCTAAAACCGTCTGTGAGGCGCCATCTGCTGGCGACCTGTATTACTACATTTGAATTTTGAATCTGGCGCCAACACTGGCACAGAGGTTGGACCTGACGTCTGCAAGTTGGACCTGACGTCAGCAGCCCCCCGCCCAGAGCAATGTAAACGGCCCAGTCTCGTTCACGCCCCCTTTAGTCCTCCAGGCTACGCCCATTTAGAGGAAGATTTGAACAGGAAATGTGAGTAACGTAAGCTCCGAGGAGCGGGGGTGAGAACCACTTTAAAGACCTTATGACGGGTTTTTTTTTTTTTAAATTGTGGATATCAAAATTGCATGACAATGTCAATCTGAGAGATTCCGTGTTTTTCATGAATTTAAGTTGTCTATGCTCTAACCTGTGTAAGTAAGTAAGTAAGTAAGTTTTTATTTATATACCGCCTTTTCACTGCAGATCTGAGTCTCAAAGCAGTTTACAATTGTTAATTTTTTTTGGGCATTTGTCTCTCACTCCACACAGAGATGGGAGCGGGGTCGCTGAACAGGAAGCGCATGCCAGAACTATTGGACATATTTTTTATTGGTAGGGGAAACCGGAGTACCCGGAGGAAACCTACGCAGACACGGGGAGAACATGCAAACTCCACTCAGAAAGGCCCTGGTCCGACCGGGATTCGAACCCAGGACCTTCTTGCTGAGCCCATGTGTGACGTCACAGCGGGTAACGCCCATGCATTGAAAACCATGGATCTATGCCACAGGACTGACTTTTCTCTCTTCTCTCCGCTGATGCCCAACACAATACTGCCCTCTACAGGTGACAATTGCTCACTACACATAAATTGCCGTTTGAGAGTGAAAAAGTGTCTGAGGTGGGATTTGAACCCCAGTAACTGGATTGGCAGTGCATCGACACAACCACTGGACTATCTCAGTGCCAACGAAGAGTTACAATCTAGTATTTATGTCAGACTCGCTGTACACGGCCTTGTCATCTTGAATATCCGCGAAAAAAGAACGAATACCAATTTGTAAACAACTTACAGCATTGAAACGTACCCGCTCTGACGTCACCAAGGGCTGTGAAGTTTTTTTTGTCTCTAAGGGCGTTGCTATGGGGTTATTTCGATTTGGGGGATCAGACAAAAAAAACAACAACTGATTTTGAAACCTTTAGTAGTTCTCTTCTAATATAAAATGGTATTACAACTGTATTTCTAAATAAATCAAACCCGTTATAAGGTGTTTAAAGTGACTTATTGTACAGTCTGACAACAGTGGGGATAAAGGCCCTGCGGTAGCGCGCCTTCTTGCAGTGAGAGAGCTCCTCAGCTCCTCTACAGTCCTGTGCAGTGGGAGGGAGGTGTGGTCCATGATGGAGGTGACTTTGACTAGCAGGATATCCTTAAAACTTACCTGGTCCAGCTGGAAGACTTTGTAGAAATATCTTTGCCAGAATTCTGAATGCGACACAGCAGCAGGAACCTGCACAGTAAACAAGAAAGAATAATTTTCATAAACTAAAATACAGTCCTGTAAAAAAAACAGCATCAAGTTAAGTTACTTTACCATTTTGGTGTAAAGAGCTCGTATAGATGGACTGTTGACCAAAAGTTCAGAGATTTCTCCTTTCTTCTCCTCCAAACTGAAACTGCACAACCAGTTGTCAAATTGCTCTGTGGTACCTGAATCACAGTAACAAGCCGTTAAATTTGGGATCACACATGACGACATTCTGTGCAAGAATTCTAGCTAACTATCTCTCACTGTGACTTACCATCAGGTTCATTGCAATATGTAGCGGGGTCAGCCTGCAGACTGTAGAGACGGGCCTATGATGAAACAGAAGCGTACTTATTCATTCATTGTTATTACGGCTTCTAAGTGGAGGCAAGTTCCATATTTCTGTTTATAGTCAAACAGGAGCAATGTTTGTTGCTTTGCCCTCACACCACGAAGCAATTGAAGATGTAAAAAAGGCCCCTATTTGGTTGCGAGTTAAAATATTATGAAACATGTAGTATTACAAACCCAGAGGGATGGATTTGATAGCAGCCAGGACTGAGGAAGGGACAGAAAAGGCCAGAACCAATAGAGTCAAAGTCCTGATTACTTTCTAGATATGGCTTCAAGAGGCCGCAGAGTATGGTCTGTCTTCACGAATTATACGGTCTGTGGAGTGCTTACCTTTGAGCTGTCATAGACCTCTGTAGTTCCTGCTGCCGTAGCTACTAAAGTGATTACATCACAATCAATGGTTTTATCAGGAGGCGGTGCAAGCGTATCAGTTATCACACCAAGGAAACTGGAAAGACTTTTCTTGACTTTTTCTGTGGTTTCAGACGACCCTTCCACCTAAAAAAATATAAACAACATTAGTATTTAAACAGCTAACAGTTATTATAACCATGTTAAACACTTACAGCAAGTTTGTTTTTAACAGCTGTGGCTGTTGCCACGAGTGAGCAGGCAGTGTCATGCTGCACCACAGTGCTGAACTCTGTCAGGTCTCGTTTTATGAACTCAAAGGCTTCGGAGGACTGGAAATAAAAGATCAAATTAAGTGTTTAGTGCTTATTTTAAGATACCAAAGGGGTTTTTATGTAAACCTCGTGCGTGTGTTACCTTCTCTTTGACAGCCTGGAAGCTCTGCTGAAACCAACCTCCCCACCAGTTTTCACTGTAAGGAAATATATTCACATTTTACATATTAGTAGAATCATTCTTTTAAACCCGAGTCTATGGCCATGGACGGCCGGGGACAGTGTTTGTGCAGACAGGACAGTAACGTTAAGCCACAACATTAGCATGTAGCTAGTCAGGCACAGCCTTAATGTCTGTAAAAAGACACGTCTGGAGCCAATGACAGTCGGTTGTGCACATTACAAAACTAAACAATACTCGGAGCACACAACACTAACATCAGTTATAAGAAGTATTTCGGTGTAAGTGCCTCTAAGTTAACGATGCTAACATTAGCTTCGCTGTGTTTTTGTAAACAGACGCACTTCCTGCAGAATCCAGGGTTACACCTGGGACATCAGCAGTGAAGTCAATCCAACAACAGATCACAGAAATAACAACAACCTCAAGTACCAGAGACGGTCAATACATCTGGTTGTTTAAAAGCATAAACTAAAAGTAATTTTGTGACTTGACGCTTACCCGTCGGCCATCTTCGGTGATGACGTCATCAGTGTTTGGGTCAAACAGACGCATCAGCGATATTTCCTCCACATGCTTATTTGTTTATCGGTGATTTACTGAGTCATTTACTGGTGGTTACCTCTCCATGAAATAAATACAGAAAATATAAACAAAATATAAACTTCACTGTCATGATATGGTGTCCACGGAAGACCAAAACACTGATCGCATTTTGTGCACGAAATCTGTGGAATTAGCTACATTTTTAAAGTGACAGACACATTTCATCAATGTTGGACCCACACACATACAGTACATTATAGGAAGGGTTTGTATACAGCATACATATACAGAGAACATTTAGACACATTTCACGTGTTTATTCAAAATGTTCACACTATACTCATGTGAGTGCATAAGCAGCAATGCTTCCACTCTCACTGTATCTACTTCCAATCTACTTAATTGGGTCTTTCAAACACCCAATTAACACTATCAATGCATGCCGTGCTGTGCCAACCTGGACTACACCCAGCCATTGATTGTGATTTGAATCATTTAAGCTATCCATCTGTCTACACAGCATGAATGGTGTTGTGATTTTAGTGTCATCACGAAAGATTAAGAAAAATATACATCTACTACCCTTGACCTAATTGATCCTTTGTTCTAAATCTAGATTAATTATCTGAATAGCTGTCTTTGCAGTGGATCTTTATTAATCAAAAAGGTAAATAACTTGGAAGCTCTAGCTCGCTTTTTACATAACACCCATAATAGATAAAAATATGATGTTTTGTACTATTAGGCCTACTTAAATTAAAGACATTGAAAGTGGAAAATAAGCTACTTTATTATAGTCTATTATAGCCACAGTGGATCACTTAATTTTGAGATAACTAGACCAACAGCACACAGAGGATATGCCCATATTGTATGATTTAAGAAGCATATCCATGACATGCCACACACATTATGGGACCTATCCACACAACAGACCTCTAATGCCACACCGTGGGTTAACACCATCTGCTGCTGATCAGGACACACCAGCTTTGCACAAGTCAATGTCTCTAATTATCTATCTGCAGCAAAGGAAGGCTGGCCCTCTTTAATCTGCACAATGTGTTCTGCTTCCCATTCCCACCTGTGCCCACACGAGGGGGTGGAGCAGGGTCCTGGTGTCAGGGGACCAGAGACCAGGTGACGCCACAGAAACACTGCTGCTCCGTTTGGCTGGCAGCTGCCTCCCCCCGCTGGGACATCCCACAGCTGACAATCCCCACTACTGACAGGGGCTCTTTACACTGTCAATAGCCTCATATATTAGAGCTAACCGCTTTTGTGGTGAGCATGGGTGTCAGGGCTTTTGGCCCGACATCGCTTGTTACCATGATGAAATGTAGATTGAATGGAGGGGGCCTGTGTCCCAGGCACGGTCTTTGGCTCCTTCAGTCTTTGTGTCCCACGCATGGCTATTGTTGTATCCCATTCAGAGCTCTCAGAAGGGGCCGAGGAGAAGTGAGGGACGTGGGTGAAAATGACTCCTCATTTCTGCCTGCTCTGCAGCTCATCTGTCAGCTGTGGGAGGATAAGCATGTATTTTACACGCTTGATTTGCTGCTAAGTGAGGGCCAGTCATTATTGGTTTATCACTAAATTATATTCTTAATCTTACCAGGAATTTTACTTTTGTTGTATTACTTTTTAACTGTGAATCGAGGTCCCAAAATTTGAAGAGACCTTTTACATCTGTAACCTGGCAAGGGCCAGATCAATATCGCATGAAACTTTGTCAAATTCCACAAATCTGATGTCACAAAGACCATGAGAATTCAGCTTCCGAGCAAGGTACGATTTAACCGTTTATTAACCTCTTTTTTCAAACTTAAGCCTGGTTGATTTCTTTCTTCTGTAATTCTGGCCAATGTCCAGAATGTAACCCTGATACAGATTATTTTGTTTTGGCAAGTTGTAACTTGACCTAAATCTTGCTTTTGCTACTTTTTGTCTACACTAATGAAAACTCTGATTAGACAGTGACAAATGGTTGGCCTGGAGCTGAGGACAGGGCTGTGTCCCTCGCCTACGTCAGACAAAAGTGACACGCCATCATGGCGCCACGTCGTCCTTTCATCTGTAGCCCCCTGTAGAGGTGAAGATGGATGGTCCCCTGGTTCCACACTCACATTCTGCTCCTGCCTGGCACACGGTCAGGGCCTGTCTTATTGGACAGCTGAGTTTAGGTGCCAAGCTTCTTCCAATGACACTGACACTGAACATTAAATATGTTTCTATGTTTCTAAACACATTCTATTTCTATCCTCCATTCATTATTATATACAATAATATATGTAAAATGCCAAACAAAATGTAGAAGTTAAAACTTTAATTTAGGAAAATATACATTTCACCAGTTTCATTTTTTGGTTGTGCCACTGACATAATACAAACTTTGCAATGCAGATGAATCCATATACACAATCTATCTATAAAAAGTAAGACAACCGGCGAAAAGTAGTCAAAGTATTCAACCAATATACAATATATACAGACTCTGGCACCAGCCATGGAGTTTTCAGTTCATATGACAGTTCACTGCGACCTCAAAAAGAGTTCACTTGTTCAATGCCAGGCTGGATAGCGTGGATGTGGTGGTGGGAAGTGGTTGGCACAGTGAGCAGGGGCAGGGCATGCCTGGGAAGTGCCTGAATGAGTGGTGGTTCATGTGGAGGGAATCCTTTAGGAGGCCCTGGACTGAAGGGTGGAAGCTCAGGAAGCTGCTGGAGTGTGAGGGCGAGTGTGAAGCTGGGGCTGCTGCTGTGGCCGTTTGAGAAGAGTGGTGCTGCAGAGACAAGGGTGTGCTTCCCACCAGCGAGTGCAGTGACGGGGCCAGAGGGTGCAAAGAAAGGTGAGCCCCGGGAGTTGTGGAGGCCATGACTGGATGAGCTGGGGCGCGGGGTTGTACAGCCGCACTGCCTCCATAAACATCTCCCACTAACTTCTTCATCTCCTCCAACGAGCTGGACAGCATGAGAATGTAGTTGCGAGCTAGTAGCAGAGTGGAGATCTTGGAGAGCTTCCTCACTGATGGGCCTTGAGCGTAGGGCATGACCTCCCTGAGCCCATCCATCGCCTGGTTCAAATCATGCATCCTCTTCCTCTCTCGGCTGTTCACCTTCAGTCTCAAATCCTGGTTCTCCTCTTTATTGAGCTCTGAACTTCCCTTCACCTTTCCCTCGGACTTCCCGGCGTCCCTGTGGTCCTGTAGATACGGGTGGAACATCTTGTTGGAAAAAAAGCTGCCTGCAGAGTCATCCACGACAATGTCTGGGGAGGAAGAGCGACTGCAGCTGGAGCCAGCGTCAGAATCCATGCTCAGTAAAAACAAGTAAAAGTGCAACAAAAAGTAGAACAAACGACAGCGGGCGCCTGCAGGTCCTTCTCAGTTGACTTCTTGCGTGAGTCTGTCTTTCTGTCAGTCTGTGGGCCTTTGGGGTGTATTTATGCGGTGGGCCCAACAAAGGAACAATACGATGCATAATGAGACACTTAGAGTGAGAGCCAATTGCAGAAGGGACACACTTTCACCCTTCACACCCCTCCTCCCAGCATCAACCACACAATCCTACATTAACACCCACATCAAGCAACTAAACATTAACTACATTAACACACCATGTTCACAAGTCCCGTTGAGAATCATCATTTCATGTTGTAATGGCAGAAAACATTACAAAAAGTGTCTGTTTGGGAATCACTACAGAACATTGCATGTACATTGGTTTGAAACTTCTTGTCAAAGTAAAGTTTTTTCTTGACTTTTTAAAGTATTGCAGCTGTTTTAAGGGTGTTTTTGTTCTACAGTTCAATCAATAATCTTATAAACAATCTTATAAGTGCTTTCTTCATATCATCATTCGCGTCATTTTATATAGACATTTTTCTGTTTTTTAAGAATGAAAAAACAGTGACTTTGCCTCCATTTTGTCAGTCCAATGTTCATAATAGTAAATCTGTGATGCCTGCGAGCCCTGATTTACATTTGGAAGAGCTGTATTAAACTCTGTATGAGACGAGTGAACCAGTAAAGAGCAGTGTTAATGGCAGACTAGGTCCAATTCAGCTCATGGCCGCGGACAATAGCCCCGAGATCCATCTGACTGGGCCCCAAACAGTCTGCGAAATCACACCACTGTCGCCGCAGAGATGGGAGGAGGCAGTTAGACACATTCTACAACCAACACTGCATTTCCTTTGGATTGTTGCTTTTCTAAAATAAACTGTTTGGGCAAAGAAACACTAACATGCAGTAGGGAGTTGAGCTGCAGGTATGATTTTTAGAGTTTATGGATCTTGTGAAAATGCAGTAGGGAGTTGGGCTGCAGGTCTGGTTTTAGAGTCAGCTCCAGAATTTCCTGTGTCTCCAGCCAAATCAGCATGAGTAAATGGTTGAGTTTTTTTTTTTCGTTCCACATCTCTTTTTGTAAGACATTTGCTTTCATATGTGAATTCACCCATGGGTTTTGACATGGTTGTTATTATTACCAAACGATATTTGCACAGAATAAGCTATTCCACCACTGAATTTGGCACTATAGGCTTTCACTGATGTGCACCTTGAGCTTAATGAGACAGACAGAAGTTAAATGTGTGAAGCATTGGCCCATGAGGACCCCCATCGCAGCTCCATGAGGGTTCTCTGCAGGGCGCTCTGGCTCTACCACCATCCAGACCTTTGATAATGGGAGAATCTGAGGAACCAACATGGCCTGTTATCTGGAGCATATGGAATGATCTACCAGTGGCTCAGGGCCAAAATGGTGCCTGGACCGTCCCTTTAATTGGGCCAAGATGTAATTAACGGCAGAAACAACAGCCCATGGTTTGAATACTGCTTCAGACCTTTATTGCTGGTTGGTTCTGTGCCAGTGTTGTGAATGGAAAGAATAGTAAAAACCATTTCTTGACCATTTAAAGTTAATGGTTGACTAAAATCAACTATGTAATTTTTGGCTTCGTTCACATCCTTAGATTCACTTTTTCTGACACAAAACATAAAAAGACAGGCCCGCCCTCTCTCAAATAGTGACTCACAGAATGCAAAATCTAACATTATAACAACATATCTGATGGAGATGTTGTGGTCTGATTTGTTCAAAACATATGATAACAGAAGAAATAAGTTAGGTACACAGGTGTTACTTTTTTTGAGGTCCCAGAATATGTATTGGGATGGTCGGTCATCCAGCCTCCACTGCTTACATATGAATACAGGGTCTCTATCTGCATCAGATGGCTGTAATCAGTGCTCTCTGCAGTTCACTTGTCTATGTATGGACCAGCTAAACCTTATTCTTCTTTCCATCTTATTCTCATTCATGTGTTTACTTAGATGGCAGGCCACACAGAGAGACACTATAGCCTCTCCAAGCTTTGAATTTTTACAAATGAAAGCGTAGCCTGCCTCAAAGTTGCATTATCGAGTTTGACTTTCTTCTTTCTTCTCAGGCCCCTTCATCCCATTGAGGCGGCAGGAGTGGCAGACTTTTGGTGGATTTGGTTTCGGCCATACAGGGGGGGCACTCCAGTCAAAGTGTGCAGGTGACCAGAAAATAAGGGCTTTGACATAGGCATATGCTTGTAGAGATAGGGGATCAGTCCAGATTAGGGGCCATCATGGCTCAATAAAAAATGGTAAGCTGAAGGACAAACCCGCAGCGCTTCTTAGGGACTCTTGGGCCCTTTGTTGGACAGGGTTGAGATCTTGTGCACACAGCCAGCTTTAGTCTGAGCATCTGGAAATAAAAGAGGCTACAACAGAGGGGCCTCCATGCACTGTTGGCAACAATACTTCAATGTATCCAGATAAAAACAAGAGTTTACAGACAAGTGACTGTGTGAGTATGTGGGTCTCTGTTGCTGCTGCGAACTATTCTGAAATGTAGAGAACCACCCAGAATGTGAGTGAGAAAAGCTCTTCTATTTTTAGTGTTTAAGTTGTTCAATCAATTAATCAACTTTTATTTATACAGCACAGTTTTTACAGAATGCTCCCCAAAGTGCTTCACATTAGCAACATTTAAACCCGATATTAACCCACACTGTAAAAACACACTAAAAACTATTGAAAAATAAAAAAATAAATGTATTTAGAAATAATAAAAAATTAGTTGTTATAATATTATCTAAAGAAAACATGTTAATACATAATTATTAAAGTGTATTATTTAAACAATTCTGTTTGTTGTAAACTGCAATATTTATCTAAAAGTGGATGTGAAATAAAAGAAAGCAGATCAACAGCGAGGAGTATATTTGTATTTACATTATTTTATTGCTTTTAACTGTTTTGTTTTAACTGTTTTTGCTTTTAATTTTTTTCTCTTTGTAAGGCAACCTTTAGAGGCCAAGGAAGGCGCCGTATAAACAAAATATATAATTATTACTAATCTTGAAAATGGCTACTAAGTACTTGTGTCGAGCTCATTTAATTCACTAAAATTAAATTATAAGGTAAAAACTAAGTTGGGTTCATGAATTTTCATCAAATTGTGGAAATCCTCTGGAACTCTCAAAACAGCTTCCATGCACGGCCCAGATTTAGATAATCTTTTTTTAGCCTTCGATCAAAGGGTCAAAAAGTGATTCCCAGGGCTCTAAAATACGTTATGTTAACATCTGATTTAGAATATGACTCTTTAATCAAACCAGGTCTGTAGTTAACAATTTAAAAACAAAAAATCAATGATTCTTTTGATTAATTGATTAGTTGTTCCCAAAAGTACAGAGAAAATTATGTATTAAACAGTCTTTTATGCATTTGCTTGTTTGTCTGAGTCAGAAAACATCTTCTCATCGAGGCTTTTTTAAGGTTAAAAAAATACTCTAATAATCACTTATATTAAATTAATTTACTTACATCTCTCAACAAAACAAAGAAGATAGTTTCCCAATCCTAAAATTTTCCTTTATGGTACTTGTTTGTTTGTTTGTCTATTTATTTGTTTCAAGTAAAGAATAAATAACATTCACAGTCAGTTACACTTGAAAAGGGGACGGAGGAAGCTTATTCGATTCCAACCCCCCACTCACACCACACTGTACCAAACATACAATAAACAGAAACACGACACAGGCCCCAAACACTCCGACCATACACCAATTTGCCCCATACAATACATGATAGACACAATGACAGTACTCAAAAACGGTTCTCAAAAGGAGTAGCTCCAATCACAATAAGCACATATTTACAATAAATACCAGGCCATGGTCTTCATGGTCACTTCATGACCTGACCACGTTTTAAACATCTGAAACTATTTTACTACTATTATCAGCTACTTTGATCTATTTATTTGTTTTTCTTTTGTTAGTATGGATAGATATGGCTCGCTCCGCGCTTAACTGAACAATGTGTCAAATCTTAATTCAAGCAGCAATAAAATAAATGCATGAACTAAAAATGTTTGTTTATTCTTTGATACTATGGAGTAAAAAAATAGTATTAAAGTAAAAAGTAAAAAAGGTTAAAAAAAAAAAAAGTAGTATTAAAATGTTGAAATTTGGGAAAATAATTGTCACATTTAGAACATGTCGTGTTGTAGGCTTTGTGAATGGAAGAATTACCAGCACAGGGAAGACTATTTCATAATGGTTGGAGATATAAGTATAAATAAATCTCTAATTATAGATTATATATTGAGCAAAAATGTCATTCGATAACTGCAGACAAGTGGGCGTTGTGGACATAACTCATCTTGTGACATATTCTGTGAACAAATCAGAGTTTAAGTAGTGCGTCCTTCACTGGACAAAGTTGGAACAAAACAAGAGTGGGTCTGTGAACATTGGGCAGCAGCGGCCGAGGACATTTTGGACTTTTTCGTGTCTTTGACCCAAATGTAAGACTTTAGTTCAGTTTAGTTTGGACTGAGCCTCATGTTTCTGCTGCTACTGGAAACCGGAATTTCTATCTAAAAGTAAAATCTTGGTAAGATTTATTTACTAAAAATAACATGGATTATGGGTACTTTTTTTTTTTTTTTTTTTTTTTGAATGTAGTTTTGAATGTTATTTTACCACTTTTAAGATAATAATTTTTCATAATTATTATGATTTCATTATTAGAGGAAAAAAAAAGTCTGAGTTTTTAAAGATTGTTTCAAGTATTTATTTTTTCTTCTTTCCAGACAACTTTTCTTGATGACTGTTCTCGATCTTTCAGCGTGAAGCCGAAAAGTAACGAGCAACATCTACTGTTGCTCTTTTCACTTTCATGTCTTCACAAAGAACCAGAAAACTTTTTATTATATGAAATATTTACAAAAAGATATTATAAGTGAGGACTTTACTCTATTTATTACGCTTAACATATCTTAAAATGGAATTGGACCTCCTGGAAATGAACTCCTCATCAATTCTGTTGGTCTACTTTTGGCTGAATGCAAAATGTTGGCTCCACAAAGAAAAAAATAATAAATAAGCCGCACCTGAATATAAGCCTCAGCGTCCAAAATGCAGGAAAAAAGCAGCAGCTTGTAGTCCAGAATGTTACTGTATTTTTTCTTATTTTTGTTCAGTGTATCTGAGCTCATCTGTTCTCTTTACTCTCATCTAGAAACATTTTGAACATTCTTGTAAACACCTCCACAAGCTCCTCACAGCGCAGCAGTTGGCTCCAGCACAAGGACAATGGTTTCTATCCCGCTGCTAGCTTGTGCTCTTGCTATGGCCATGAATCCGGATTTCTTTTTTTCTTTTTTTTGGGTAAAAGTGCATTGTCCACGGGCAGCATAAAAGTGTTTGTACAAAACGACAAGTGTTCCTGAGTTTGAGAAGTGCCGTCTATTGTGCCCTCTCAGCACTGGGCCCATAAGCACTCAGTGATTTATACATTTACACTGCCCCCCGACAATTGCATTATATCCACCAACACTAAAAGACACAAAAGAGCTATGAAAATCCCCTTGGACGTTTATGAGCCACTAAAGAGTCCAATAACTTTCCCTTCACCTTTAGGCGTCCTCGCAGGGATGCTGATTGTGCCCTGAATAATGAAAGTCTAGGCCGGTTCCAATAGAAGTGAATGCATTTGGGCCAGCAGGCTGTCCCATACACTGGTCCGCTCCATGCTGTTAGAGGTTCATAAATTACCCCCGCGATTAGCCCTGGAGGTGTGGGGGTATGGGGACCAGGCAGGACGGGTCGCTCAGCAGCCCGTGGTCAGGAGGCTCCAGATGTCAGCCTGAAGGTTATGGCAGCGCAGGTTATGGGCACAGACTGAAAACTGTCACAAACAAAGATGGTGCCGCAGATGAGGCCAGGTCTGTTTCTGCAGCGGCGTGAGCGGCCTGCTAACGGCTCGGGAAAGATAATGTACTGTATCTGAACTACACTGACAAAAGTAGAATTTTGGTAAGATTCATTGGCTAGGAATAACAATTTATACTGATTTTTATCTTATGGAGTGACTTTGTTTGTGACAGTCTCTACATGGCCTCGCACCAAAATACATTAGTGACATGCTAGTTAGGGATGCACCAAATCCAGGATTCGGTTTTGGATTCGGCCGAATATTGAATTTTTTGACGGGGTTTGGTGTCTGTGGAACCTTAGAATTTTTCCCCACCGAACCAAACCCGACGCTTACACTATGCGCGCTTCGCTGGTCGGCGTCATGATGCCGCCGCTGATTATAGGAAGGTGTTTACGCAGGTGGCCCGTTCGAATGCAGTAGCTCAGGCTTACAGTTAAATTTAAATTAAATTAAATATACACTGCTGTGGATGTTATTTACCTCATAAATGTGTTTACTGTGTTAATGGACCGAGGATGGAGTAGGATTCGATTTTGGATTCGGCAGAATCTTAACCCTGTGGATTTTGTATTCGACCGAACTCCAAAAATCCTGATTCGGTGCCTCCTTAATGCTAATCCCATATGAACCAGCCCGGACTCTGAGGAGCACAGGGACTGGACTCCTGTTAGTGCCCACACTGCAAAAAAGGGGGGTCTTAAAACAAGATAAAAACACTAAATCTGAGGGAAAATGTACTCAAAACAAGTGAAATTATCTGTCCATGCAGCAAGATAATTTCACTTGACAAGATTTCTTAAATTAAGATTGTTAAATCTAGAAATAAGCATGTCTACAGAGGTGTTTGGAAGGCTTAAAATAAGCCAAACATGCTGGTTTTAAGATGAGATTACTTAAAAAGTAACTTTTTACAGCCTCTAAACAAGTGAAATATACTAAATATAAGCATAAAATCCTCGTTTTTAAGATTAGATTACTTAAAAAGTAACTTTTTACAGCCTAGAAATAAGTGAAACATAACTAAATTTAAGCATAAAATGCTGGTTTTAAAATGAGATTACTTAAAAAAGTAACTTTTTACAGCCTCAAAATAAGTGAAATATACTAAATATAAGCAATTACAAACAAAATCTTTCTTACTTTTAGCAAATTTAGCTGAAGATTAGTTAAGAAAAATATTAAATTTAGAGAAAAATACTACACTATTAGTGAAGAATGACTAAACTCTGTCTTAATCCAAGCAGGTTTATCTTGAAAATGAATTAAACTAAGATAGATTTGCAAATTCAAATAACAACCAAGCAGTTCAATCAATTAATAAATCAAATGACACAATATTTACACAACTTACATTTTTAATTCAAATTAAACAGATTTGCTAGTTCAGACAACTCAACTGAAACAGGGGTGCGGCCGCGACCGTAGCGTCTTTTTTTCTTTCACTTAACTTGAAATTTTAAGGCAGCCCTTTCGCTCATATTTTTAAGTTGAAACCATTAGTTACATTTTACAGTGCAGGCCTCGATGAGGTAAAACAATTCAAGCAAATAATTAAGTGACACTGTAATAAACTTGTGGAATACACAAAACCATTGTAAGGCATGGGTAACAATAAGAACAACTGACATGACAAAATACTGCTTGACATTCAGCTACTTGTCAATGAATGATTTCCAATCAGCCATTGCTTTCTTATATGCACTAGTGGCATCTTGATCGTGGATTGTGTCACCAATGACCTCTGTTTGAATAACAGAGAGGAGCGTTGCAACACATTTAGGGTATGTTAAATGCAACGTGTAGTAGTATGCCAATAGCACCAACATCCCTTCTGAGAAATCTTCCTGTGGAAGGGTGGTCACAGGTACATTACCAACAGCCACGATGGTGGTTGATCCATCAAAAAGCAGAACTGGGGAGGAGAGAGGACGCTTCTCCAGATACAGGGTGGGGTCTTCGCCTGACTGGAACAGAAAAAAAAGAACAATGAATCTGAATCTGTGTACACCACATACTCTGGAGGGTCTGGCATTTTCATTGTTTTCTCAGCAGATATGGGGGTGGAGGCTTGCGGCTGGCATGGTGGCATGGAGCTAGTTGAGGGCATAATCCCGCTTCCACTGCAAGTGCTGGCATCTTGGTCCGTGGTATTTTCACACTATTAGGATTATGTAGGATGAAAACAAAATGCATTAGGACCATTAAAATATGGTACAATTTAATTTTAATAACTATTATTTATTCCAATTTGTGTTTACATTTTGATTGATGAACTCCCAAAGTTTCTTTCTTCTGAGAAAATGTCCAGGACCAGGAAAAAGATCCTTCAGGTCTTCCCGGCTAAGGCCTTTCAAAGCCTCCTCATCAACACCGGCAGCTGTAATATGACAAATAAATACCTTAAGATGAAGCAATGCCAAGCTACAGTACCAAGCAACATAAAGAGGGGCCATTTATCTCTCCCTCTGAGCTCCAACACATTTGTAAACTGTTTAACTAGTTGTCTGTGCTATGAAGCCTCCTTAAAGTCAGCGAAAATAATCATAAGCCTATCTCACAAAGATGCCAGCCCCAAATAAAATCAAGGATAAAAATATTAAAGTCTGGACTTTAAACATTGGGCTACCTTTATGCCATAAGTTCAGTGTTGGTCATATTTTTTTATTTATTTACATTAACTAATTTAATTAATTCATTTAAATTATTAATCAGCACATTTGAGCTGCAACTGTGGCTATTACTCAAAAAATCAGATAATGAATAGCAAATTTACTAATTAGGTTTTCTTTAGCTATCAGCTTTTATTATTATTCCAACAAACTACATGCCAAAAGCACCTATACATCAAATATAAACTTTATTTGTGACTTACCCTCCAAGACCGATACAGTGGCATCGTCAAAAATATCCATTCTGGATTCATCGGCTCCCCGACGAATTAGGCCCAACACGTGGTAGGCTACCTAGCAAAAACACAGCCAAACAGAGCTCGTTAGTTAGCATGCAAAAGTGCACATGAGCTAACACCACCTAGCTTGCTAAGCAAGTACCCCGGTGAAAAACAATTGAAACGGTAACCGTCACAGCAACAATCTGCTCTAAAATATGATTTTGGCGACTAATATTAAAAGTTCAATTAAGTTTACTGACCTTGAGCCGCTGTTCCTTCACGAATGTAACGTGCCTCCTTCCGTTACTCAAGCGGGGAATTATTTTTTTTTTTTTCTCAAGCGGGGAAATCACTTGGACGTAACGTAAATCCTGACGTCATTGAGGTGGGACAGTTGGAGGACATGAGCCGACATGAAAAAAAAAAAAAAAAAAAAAAAAAAATGAGCCGACATGAACTAAGGATGTAAACATTAGCTTGTTAATAAAAGATTTTTAAAACAAAACATTTACCATCTTAAAATTAATGAAATAACATATACTCGGAGAAATTTTGTGTTCAAATAATAAATACAAATGATAGCATGAGCGCCCCCTCCCCCCTCCCCCTCCGGGTCATCAGCCAGCAAACAGGCGCCAACGGTGCATCACAGACGGTTCGGCATCATGGCAGCGTGGAGGTGTATGATTTGTTTCGTCTTTGTTGCTCTAAGTCTTAAAGTCCTACTAAGCCACATTAATGCAAGCCACAGTCGCAGCCCGGATTTTTTGGTTTACTGTGGTATTGATGGATGTGAACAGGACTTTAGAGTTTTCAACTCCTTCTTTCGCCACATTAAACGGACGCACCTTCAGTATTTTCGGACTGGAAGCCCACCAAGTGGATGGAGTACGACGCCTTCTTCTCGCTCTTTGGGACAGGAAACAATTGGTGTGTCCGTTTTTGCCAGCTGTAGCACCCCTGCAGCGGACAGCACTGTGGCTGTCCCACCTGGTGCCTCTCTACCTGAACCGTCACAGCAGCCTGACGCTGTCGGCCGCCTTGAATCCGTAAGTCTCCACAGTTCCATTCGTTTTGACCTCTGAGGGCCTATCTCGCCAATTAATTTGCTCTCTGTGTGATGCTGACTTGTGTAAAGTGTTTTGTTTTGTTTTATTTTATTTTATTTCCCACATACAATGGTGTATTCAAAGCCTGGCTTCCTTGAATCCATACCGGGAATGCACGCATTAATCAGGAGTAGGCTATCTTACCTTCTTTTTACAGTCTATATGACACACTCTCTCTTTCATATACAGTAAGCTAATTGTCTTCAGTGAATGCTAAGTTACCTCCGTAACACGACGTTATTCACGTGAAACGCACATAATTGAACGAACTTCACACTTACCTTGGGAAGAGACGATAGAGCTGCTCAGGTCCAAGACCAGTGAGGCAAATGTGGGATTAAAATAATTTTTTCCCCTCTCGTGCGTCCTGTTCCTCATCAATTAGTCCGTATTATGGCACGCTTTTCTCCATAAGGAGAAATGGGACAAAATGTTTTCAACTACTGTAACGTTATACAGAGGGCAATAATTGGAAACATTTTCTCATAGACTGTATTATTTACGTGCTTTAGTTCATTTAGTTTTTAGTTGTAAACAAAGTAGTACCCAGTAAAGTTAAGGTTACCTCGGTAATTAGAGCTGGGTACTTACTTGCTGAATAATAACACTGCTGTCTGAGTCAATTTTACACACTCATTGTTTGTTGTAGTCTAATTTATAATCTTGAAAAAAAAAAAAACACTTCACTGTAAGAAAAACAAAAAAACAACAACAATTCAAATCAACCCTGATTGTGTCTATCTACTCTTACTTTTATCACTTTCTGAAGGAGCAGGCTGTTGCTGTGACATCCAGAGCCAGACCTGATATTGCTAGATCTGCAGCGGCATTCGCCATCAGTGTCCGGGAACAGTGCCACTTGTCACAGGTAAATTTGTCTTGATGGACAAATGCTTTAATGGTACTATTGATATCGTATAATAATTCCTTGATTATACAATGTTTATTAAAAAATATAATTACTGTAATAATTCCTTTCTATATTTCAATGTTAACTATGGGCCTGTTAGCAATAATTATATGAGGGGAATATATATGTATATATATATATATTTTTTTATATATATTTTCACAGAGAACTGTCAACAGCGTCATCTCGGGGGTGCAACAGTACCAAGCTGCTCTCCTTGACACACTGAGGGAGAGAATCAGAAGGGTGTTTGAAGAGAATCCAGAGACAACTGCTCAGCTCCAAGATGAGGCTTTGGCTACTTTTGATACATTCACGGATCCTTTCTCAACCACAGCATATGGACAGAATAAAACTATCCGGGAACTATTCAATCCAGTCAACCCAGAGGAAGTTGTGATGTCCCAGAAGATTTGTTGGGTAAAGCGTGGTCCTTCAAGGGTCATGGCCTTAAGAAACAAAAGTTTTTACTATGTGCCACTCATTCAAAGTCTCAAGCAGTTACTGACCAATTCTAGAATCTTCACAATGTTGACCACTGTACCACAAAGAAGTAGAGAGGGATTCTTGTATGATTTTACTGATGGAGCCCTTTTTACATCCCACCCCTTATATTCTCAAAGGCCAAATGCATTGCAAATACTATTGTACACCGATGAAATTGAAATATGTAACCCTTTAGGCCCCCATGCCTCTGCAAATAAATTATTGATGTTTTATTACACTTTAGGGAATATTGATCCAAAATTTAGGTCCAAGTTGGCTGCTATAAGACTCCTTGCTATTGCCAAGGCAAATGATATTTCTCAATGCGGTGTTGATGTTATGCTAAAAAGAATCCTAAAAGATCTGACACTTCTTTACAATGGTGTTCGGATTGAAACCCCAAATGGTGAAATTGAGTTGTTTGGTGCGGTGATAGCCTTATGTGGAGATACACTTGCCCAACATGACCTTGCTGGGTTTAAACAAGGTGTTGGTTTTGCTTATAGCAAATGTAGACATTGTGAATGCTCCTTTGATGATATGCAAAGTATTTTTGAGGAGAATAAGTTTGCTGAAAGAACTTTGGAAAACCACATCAGGCAATGTCTTGAAATAGACAAAGCAAGCACAGAAACATTGAAAGCATCCCTCAAAACCACTTACGGGATTAACAGAAGAAGCAGGCTAGTTGATTTTCCAGCATTTGACCTGATCAAACAAACTCCACAGGATATAATGCATGTAATTTTTGAAGGTGTTGCACCAATGGAAATAAAGCTTGTGTTAAAAAACCTGATTCTGTCAGGACAGATAGAATTAGATGAGATTAACTCAGCTATTATAACTTTTCCTTACTCACCTCTAGATATACGAGATAAGCCATGTCCTATTAGTGTCAGCACTTTAGCTGCTAATGACAATAAAATAAAACAGTCATGTGGACAAATGTTAATACTTTTGAAAATACTACCTTTCATTTTGAATGATATGGACAGTGAGTATGTCAAATTTATTTTCAAATTAATTCAGATTGTTCAAATTATCCTTGCTCCTGTTATTTCATTAGAAACTGTATTGCGGCTCAGGCACATGATTGAGCAACATCTGCATCAGTTCAAAGAACTTTTTTCTGAATCCAATGTCATTCCCAAGCAGCATTACATGCTCCATCTACCTAGCCAAATCATATCTTTTGGTCCTTTAGTAAGAAGTATGTGTATGCGATTTGAAGCTAAGCATAGCTATTTTAAGCAGTGGGCTTCCAAGTTAAATTTCAAAAATGTATGTAAATCGCTTGCAAACCATAATCAGTTCTTTGAATGTTGTCAAAATGAAATAGGCACTGAGCATCCAATTTTTGCTAGTGAAAGAGAATCAGGGCCTGTCTCAGCTGTCAAAAATGTTGATTATGTTAAAAGAAAAGTCAAAGATTTTTTAGGCATAGAGGTCATGCAATCTGTTGTCTCTGTGAAATGGTACATCCTCAATGGAAATAAGTACATAAGTGGGAAATCTATAATTATTGTAGCTGTAGATGGTGCTTTCCCAGTGTTCGGACTGATTAAAGATATCTTTGTGATAGATTCCTCTTTAGTTGCTTTTGAGTACCAACGTTATGAAACACTGAATCTGAATCCAGAGTTGCTGGCATATGAGGTGGCAGTTCCCAATGTTGCCCAGGCTACAGAATTTGTAAAAGAACTAATTGACTGCATTTCCTATTTTCCAGTTAGTTTCAAAGACAATACCTTTGTTCCAATAAAATACAGTCTTTGTGACATTATTGCCCACAGACAATAATCTGGAGGAACAATAAGTACTGTATGTATGGGTGTATCATACCATACACCTCATGTATTGTGTTGGGTGAACCCAGTTTGCCTGTTTTCTGTTTGCTTTGCCAGTTTTGTGAACATCATCAGCTTGAAGTCAGAGAAATAAACTCTGTTTTTCAGATGCTTTTTGTGTGACTCTTGAATCAAGCAAGTTGAGTTTGTTACTGAATCTTAAAACAAGATTTATTTGAGGAGACTTTGGGTAAAAGATGTAATATATCTTATTTTAACAGTTATTTACCTCATTTTAAGATTCCCTGCCTATTTGAGACAAAAAAGACAAGGTTTGCTTGATATAAGATTGTAGTGTAAAGTTGAACACTTAAAATAAGAAATTAACTCTTAAAACAAGACAAATTATCTAACACTTCTAAATCTAAGTTTTTTTTTCTTGGTAAGAACCAAATAATTTGCAGTGCAGAGTCAGAACTAAACATGGGGAGGCAGCTTTTCTGATTCATGCTGCTAAAATCTGGAACAGTCTTCCTGAAGATGTGAGACAGGCCTCCTCTCTGACAATGTTTAAAACCAGGTTAAAAACAGTTCTGTTTAGCTGTGCATACAACTGAGGGATTTTATATTTTTATCTTTCTTTTTAATGTTCTATTATTATTATTTAGATTTTAATGCTTTCTTGTCTTGTCTGAGTTGCCTTGTGTATGAATTGTGCAATATAAATAAACTTGCCTTGCCTTGGTTGCCTAATGTATTTTTTCAGCTTGAATTTAGTTTGTCATATAAGATAAGTGAGTTTTTAATGCTTGTTTTAAGTTTTTTTTTATTATTTCCAGAAAATGTTTATTGTTGTTTAGATAAATTAAGGATGTTATGCTATATTTTAAGTAAACATTTAAAAAAAATGTTTGATACATTTACCTTAAACAGACATAATACTTGAAACGTGTGTTTTTTTTTATTATTGATCATTATTTTCTTATTTTCAGAAATCTTGTCAAGTCATAATTTCATGTTATTGGTAGATATTTTTCTGATATTAAGCAGTATTTCACTTATGTTTGTATATCATTTTATTACTTTTTTCAAGGGATAATTTCTAGTGTTCAGATAATAATGTCTTTACAGTATTACAGATAAAACACAGGTCCACAGTACAAAATATGACAACTACTGAGTTTTTCCTTGCCGATGCAGGGTTTGTGAAGCACTTTGATCGATAATTTTATGCTTTAGAGCAATAGATGGGAAAAGAAAATCACCAAATATTCACAAAGCATCATGCAAAAGGCCAACATTGACTGTAAGTGGGCCTGACAAAAAGGACAGTGGTGATGATCCAGGACACTCTACAACATGTATATACATTTATCAACATTCATAGACATTGGTAACTCTATATGAACCAATACACATGGGTTCTACTGTATATTTATTCTTTTGAAACTGTTTGATTCTCTGATCTGTGTTGGCGATCTCAAAGTTAAGTTAAGTTAAGGTTAAGTCTTCTGCGATAACTACTGCTGTGATTTAGGGCTGTACCAGAATAAATTGAATTGAATTGATTTGATAGTCACTCTTTAGGTATTTCATGACACTCTGAAGCAACTGTGGTTAAAGTTAAACTCATCATTCTTCGCTTTGTATATTTATTCTCTATGGTTGAGTGAATTTGATTCTACTTTAAGACATTAGTTTTAATATCAGCCAATATTATTCTCATTGCCTGCATTCTCCACCGCCTGAAGAAGATGACAAAGTCTGGGATCGTGTCTTTAATTCAGACAGAAGACATGTTTTATTGTCGTTGGTAGAGACAGCACGAACACGAACGATTTTACAAAATGTAAGTGATAATATACAGCAGGAGGAACGGAGACCTTCTTTCAGCAGCTGCCACGGTGCCAGTAGCTTCAACCTAGAGATAACCAAAACAATGGAAAAGTACTGCCTTGTGCATATTGTTAGAATGATTTTAACTTCAAAAGTGTCACGAAATACCTAAAACTAGTTATCTTCAATAACCACATTGAGCTTTAACTAGCTAAACGCATTGTTAGCTTGACTGGAAGTGTAGAACAGTGTCATTAAAAGCGCTTTAGGCCCTTTAGAGGACGTTAAGTGAGATGCCTGCAGCCCGTACAGCCCGCGCTCCCCACACAGAGGCATGTGTGTCAGCTCATTGTGCCGGTCACACTTTTAAACAGTTGGCTCCTCTGGTGCGTGGAGGCGTCTTTGTGCACATTCTGGAGACTTCTGCCGTCTCCGACCCCCCCCCCCTCTTTCCCCACGTCCCCCCTAGTGTCCTCTTGCTTTGGAGAGAACAGGACCCGCACGCCTAATAATCTGCCTCCCCAAAGCCCGAGCACGACTCTGGCCTTTTCATCAGCCGCCATTGTTTCAGTCTGTTACCTCCGCTTGTGCTCCCTCACCACGGCAACTACCCCCCCCCCTGTCCCATCTGTGGATAGGCCTGCCATGTGTCCTCCAGGAAGGGGGCACCACTGTATGGAGAAAGTACATGATCCTGCCCTTTCACTCCTCACATACTTAGCGCTGACCCCGGAGCCAAAGGGCACAATAGCCGGAGCGGCGGTGGCTGCAGGCGCTCCTCATCGGTGGTGATTGACGACGTGATCAATGGCAGCGCACACTCCTGATTGGCCTGTTTAAGGCTCTGCAGAAGCACTGGAGCGCGGCGTGTCTGTTTTTTCAGTATGGCTTTTTAACGGTGGCAGACCTTGTTAGTGACACACAATTGTCCTGTTGGCTTTTCAGTTTGATGTAGCAGAAGGAATAAGTGCAATTTAGATCAATGGGCACATGCCTCCTGAATTACACCAGTGTTTATGGGATGTTCTACCACAGCATTCAGGAGAAGTCAAGCTACTGCGCCATTTTTGTTGTATTTTATTAGTGAGAAGACAATAGGAAGAAAATGCACATTACCATAATCTATTTGATCCTGTTATTCTAAATCCTAGTCAGTGTTTAGTGTTGGATAAATTCTTTTGATAAAGTAAATAGTTATATTATTGCTAATTACAATTTTAGTAGCACTACTTAGTTACAGTATCAGGAAAGTAACTTAGTTCCATTACTTTACTTATAATGTAATCGACATATATTACCTTATTGGTTTTAATAAAATTGATTTAATTTACAGTCTGGGTTATTTCACGTTCAAATATTCAATATTTTGTATTGCTATTAAAGACTAATCACAGAAAATAAACATCCATTTACACCCAACACTCTCCTTCTTCCTCCAGATTTTGAACCGAATAATCCTCTGGTTGTTTTGACAGTTCTTCATCTGTGCCCGGCTCCAAAGGCTCAGCTGGTGATCAGCAGTCACATTAAACTTGAATTCACTCTAAGTGGCTGTGAATACTAATGAGAGGATATGTCCTCGTCACATCATGACCAGCACATGTTCTGGACACAAGTCTAAGCTGTAAGTGCTTGACCTGCACACAGTCAGAGGATCAGAGGAGTTGAACAGCGCTGACCTCTGACCCCTGCATTTATGGAATATGATCAAGAAAAAAAGAGGGAAAGGGCCACACTTGTCCTTTTTGAGGCAAAAGGCTTTTAGCAGCTTCCTCTCTGGGAAAAGAAATACATACATGTGTACATTTTCAACTTTTTTGTAAGAAGGAATAAAACATTAGATTTATGTATTTTGAATGAATGAAAACTGTGACAATAACATTATAGATACAGCAGAGCTCTGTACAGAGGATCTCTCTGATGTGGAAAATCACATTTATAGTTTACAGTAATACTTTATATCTCACACACGCACTGACCAGGCAGGACCTACACTCTGTCTACATCCAGATGTGATAATCATGATTGTGCATGTTAGATTGTGTGGTTCTGACTGGACATACAGGACACCGAGGAAAGGCAGGTTTAATGTGTTGCCCAAGGACACAATGGCAGCATCACGGATGGTTTCACACCAACTAAACTGAAAGTTAGTTTATCAAGCGGCTCGACCAATGATGTTTATGTCCGGAGCGGGATTTGATCTACCACCCTTCAGCTCAGAGGACACACTTCCAACTGTATTCAACAAAGCATTACACACTAACTTCGAGGCCATCAAAGATTACTTGAAACACTTCCCTCACCCATTTAGCATTATTGCAATAACTGAAACCTGGTTCAGTGATGATAAAGGTATTGATTTTTGTCTTGATGGCTATAAATTAAGTTACACAAACAGAAAAAATAAAATAGGAGGGGGAGTTGCTCTGTACACTCATAAATCTGTTAAATTTAATGTCTTAACAAATATGACCATAGCTGTGGATGGATTGTTTGAATGCTTAACGGTAGAAATTCTAAATGATAAAAAGACTAATATACTCGTGAGTTGTGTGTACCGGGCACCTGGTTCAAGTATAGAAACTTTCAATGAGTGGATGGATAAACTGTTTTCCGCTGTGAACCAACAAAAATTATTTATCTGTGGTGATTTTAACATTGATTTATTAAATCCAACCAAGCTAAAAACCATTGATGACTTCAATGACACAATGTACAGCTTGTCTCTGTATCCAACTATAACAAAACCGAGCAGAATAACATCACACAGTGCCACAATCATTGATAACATTTTTACTAACATCATGGGGAATCAAATCACAAGTGGCTTATTTATATGTGATTTACCTGTTTTTACTTTGTATGACTGTAATCTCAAAAAAACGAAAGACTCTATGGTAAAAATCTCTAAACGAATAACAACTGAGGAAACAATCCGTGCCCTAAATAGTAGTTTGTCGCTCCAGGATTGGACTTCAGTTTACAGTGAACCAAATGTGGACAGTGCTTATTGTAATTTTTTAGATATCTTCACTTCCCTGAATAATAAACACTGCCCTGTGAAAGAGTATTTTGTAAAAGAAAAATATAAAAAAAGCCCTTGGATTTTGAAAGGAATAATCAATGCCTGTAAAAAGAAAAACAATCTCTACAAATTGTTTATCAAATTAAAAACAAAAGAAGTGGAGCAAAGATATAAAAAGTACAAAAATAAATTAACTGACATTATAAGAACAAGCAAACGGTTATATTATCAAAACAAATTATATGAAAACAAAAACAATATAAAAGGAACTTGGGATGCTTTGAATAGCCTAATCAAACAAGGCTCTTCAAAGTTGACATATCCCGATTATTTTATTGATGAAAATGGTGAAGATTATAATATGAGCAATGTAGTAAATAAGTTCAATCATTTTTTTGTTAATGTTGGCCCTGAGTTGGCTGCTGATATTCCAGACCATGGAGTTGTAAAATCAGCTATTGAACGGAATCCCTTGTCTTTCTTCCTCTCACCTACAAACGAGCAGGAAGTGATAAACATTGTGCGGATGTGTAAAAGTAAGTTCTCTACTGATTGTCATGATATCAACATGACATTGGTTAAAAAAGTTATACTGAATATTGTAAAACCCCTAACTTATATTTGTAACTTGTCATTCCTTACTGGCTGTTTTCCAAGTAAAATGAAAATCGCTAAAGTAATTCCACTCTTCAAAAATGAAAACAAACACGCTTTTACAAACTACAGACCAATCTCTCTTTTGCCTCAGTTCTCAAAAATTTTAGAGAAGCTTTTCAATTCTCGACTTGAAAAGCATCATATAATTAATGAAGGCCAGTATGGTTTTAGATCCAAGAGAACTACCTCAATGGCAATAGTTGAAGCTGTTGAAGAAATTACTAATGCACTGGAGCAAAAAAAGTATGCAGTTGGTGTGTTTATTGATCTAAAAAAAGCCTTTGATACGATAAATCACTCAATCCTACTAAATAAAATGGAAAGATATGGGATTAGGGGGCTGGCTGGGGATTGGTTAAAAAGTTGTTTAACAGAGAGAGTACAGTTTGTTAAAATGGGTCAGCATTTATCAGATACTCTTGGTGTTGCTTGTGGTGTCCCCCAGGGGTCAGTGTTGGGGCCAAAACTGTTTAATGTGTATATAAGATCTGAATCTCATACTATTTGCAGACTACACTAATATATTTTACTGTAGTGATGATTATAATGACCTTGTAGAGACGGTAAACAGGGAACTCAATATAATAAAAAAGTGGATGGACACAAATAAATTATCCTTGAATATAAACAAAACTAAGATAATGATGTTTGGTAATCGTAATGCTATGTCTGATCAGACCATAAGTATTGATGGTACCCAAGTTGAAATCGTAAATGAGACAACATTTTTGGGCGTAATTATTGTTTGTAAATTGTCATGGAAACCCCATGTCAGACACATTAAAACAAAAATCTCAAAAAGCCTCTCAATTATAAATAAAGCTAAATTATACCTTGATGGAAACGCACTCCGTACTCTATACTGCACCTTGGTACTCCCATACCTTACGTATTGTGTTGAAGTGTGGGGGAATACTTACAAGAATACAATTAATCCTTTAATCATCTTACAGAAAAGAGCAATGCGGATCATTCACAAGGTTGGTTTCCTAGACCATACTCATAATCTGTTTATGCAGTCAAAGTTGTTAAAATTTGATGACCTTGTAAAATATAGTACAGCTATAGTCTTATACAAAGCATTCAACAAATTATTACCGCCTAACCTACAACGGTTTTTTATAAGTCCAATGCGAGCTTATAACTTGAGAGGTTTTGGATATTTTTCATTGCAGAGAGCTCAAAACACTCGTAAACGTTTCTGTGTGTCTGTATGTGGAGTGAAACTCTGGAACAAACTGGACTCACAACACAAGCAATGCCAAACTGTCCATCGATTCAAACTTTTATATAAACATTGGGTCTGGTCAAAATATAGAGATGTGGGTCTTTAATTTAAACTGCTGTCTCATAGTGTTACAAGTGCTCAATGTTTCCTTGCTATCGTTGGTTTAGTTTGTTCCTTACCATTACTGGTATATTGTTCATTACCATTGTTGGTATTGTTAAACTTTCATTACATTGTTGGTATAAATTTTTGTTGCGCTGTCATAAATTGTTGACAGATGTGGAAATGCCACCATGTTATAATTTGTAGAAGCTTTTAAACAAGTGACAGTGAAGTTGAGTCTGTTGAGCTCTGAGTGGGGAACTGGGGGTGGGATTAAATAAGTTTTCTTCTTCCCACTCCCTTTCAGGTGGAAGTGGATTGTTTTTTTGTTTTGTTTTGTTTTCTGCTGTATATTCTATGTTGCCCTCTGCCTGAAATAAATAAATAAAAAAATAAAAAATAAAAATTACAGAATCGTCTGTGGAAAATTGTATTTGTATTTATTCTTTTTGCGACAACTTTGCAAATTTACCACAAACTCTGAGATTCTGCTGAACTTTTGTCGCTGCAACACTGAAAGTTAGTTTGTTGGTTTTGTGACTGTGGGAAAAAAGAAAAGAGAGCTCTAAACAAGGTCCGCTCTGAAAGACGACTGTGAGCTGGGAGACCAGAGAGACACCAGAGAGAGACCAGAGAGAGACCAGAGAAAGACCAGAGAGACACCAGAGAGAGACCAGAGATAGACCACAAAGAGACCACAGAGAGACCACAGAGAAACCAGAGAGAGACCAGAGAGAGACCACAGAGAGACCACAGAGAGACCACAGAGAAACCAGAGAGAGACCAGAGAGAAACTAGAGAGAGACCGGCGAAAGACCTGAGAGAGACCAGAGAGAGACCAGAGAGAGACCACAGAGAGACCATAGAGAGACCAGAGAGAAACTAGAGAGAGACCAGAGAGAGACCGGCGAAAGACCTGAGAGAGACCAGAGAGAGACCAGACAGAGGACTGTGAGCTGTGAGCTGCCTGTTCTGGAGGTTCTTTAACCAAGCTCTTAAAATAATCAATAGCCGCCCTGTAAAAGCCATGTTCCAGCTTCTTCCCTCTGGCATAAGATATTGTTTGTTGAGATGCAGGACATCTCATTTTGCAAACAGATTATTTCCACAATCTCTTATTAGTTTTAACAAAGCACTTTAATGTTCTTGCACCTGTAACTGTTTTTGTTGATTGATTTCATGTTGAAAATTGAACTTTTTCATCTTATTTTCTTCCTGTACTTCCTGTGCACAATGGGGCCTTTTGCATATGTATTCCAATGTGGTTATACTGTGAATGGCAAATTAAAAAAATCTGCATTTGAAAACCTGATCAGAAGCTAAGAAGGACAAGAAACCACAGCGGGCGACTGCAACTGCATAAACTGTTGTTGTGTACTTAGGCAAGACACTTCACACTTCACCCTAATTGCCAAGAATGAGTCTAGTGTGTTTGAATGGATGGTGGGGGTCAGAGGGGCTGATGGCACAGATTAGTAGTGTGGCCTCTGGAATCATGAAAAGCCCAATTTATGCATTCTTTTTTTATTATCATTATTGTTGATGGTATTATTATCATTATCAATACTATTAGTTACATAATATCAATCAATCAACTTGTATTTGTAGAGCGCCTTTCCGACACAATTCAAATCTAAGTATACATTAAAAATACCATTAAAACAAACATTAAGACCACTAGGAATATTAAAAACATAGAGAATAAAATCGCAGTAATTCGTAAGTAATTGAAAACTTTAAAACACTGAAATCACACATGAGCCACAGATTCAAGGTTCTGGAATTAATTTACCATTTGCAGTAAAACCACATTGGAAAAACTGTGCAAGAATCCCCCATATTCCCGGCGCCATGCAAACAGTGCATTAAATAGAGTTGATATAAAATCCTTCAGTTGTATCCACACCTGAACAGAACTGGTGTTAGCTGCATGAATCTGAAACGCTGCCTCCCTGTGTATAGCTCTGACTCTGGGCAGCAGCAGGAGGCTACTTCCTGTGCTCCTCAGAGTCCAAACCAGTTCATATGGCACCAACATACTAGAATATACTAGCATATACTATATAATTTTTGTTTTATTGAAAAAAGTACCAGTGGTTATATGCAAGTAACCGTGCAGGACTTAGTTAGTATGGCTGGACCTCTGCCGTCTGTCAAAAGCAAATTCATACATAATGAGCACACTTAAGTTGCTTTTTTAGTTGTCTATTTGACTGTTTATTTAGGGTTAAAAGACCTTTGCTTGGCTATGTTTCCGGACGTTCAAAGAGTAGGTAAACACCCTCGTCGCGTGTTAACTGCTCTCATTGCTTTGTTGTGGAACTATTGTGTTGTGATTGTGTCCTGATGCTCCATCTCTTGACCACAGATGAAGAGATGGAGCATCAGGTCCCACATGTGGAAGTCCTGTCCTCCATCCAGGTGCAGTGTCTGTCATATGTGAGACTGTCCTCTCAGTGACATCAGTGCAGGAGTGGCTTTATGGCGTCTTTGTTATTGATATATCGGTCTTTGTCCCACTTTTCCTGCAGCGTGGAGAACCCAGGCCTCTAAGTTTTGCCCAACGGCCTGCCCTGCTGAGGTCACATTAAATATCAATACATGTTTACAAGGCCTCATAAATAGTGATGGGAGAAGCTGTTGTCAAAGGGTATCGGCCAGAGAGGAGGAAATGGAGTTTTCGGGGTTGATAAAGGCCAAATAGACCTACGCAGGGAATCTCAGACGCACCTGTTGCAGCCTGTACTTTTAAAGCTGGGGTACCTAACTTTCAAACCAGAAATAATGGAACTATGTACAGTATGTAATCTTCTAGCTAGCTCCTATCACTTAAAGCTCTTTGGTTCTGTCACTAGTTTTCACATGCATGCATTTTTGGCCACTGTCAGTCCAGATTCTTCAGGCAGAAAAGAGACAGAGATAGGACCACCCTCACTCAGCCCCAAGGGTCAAAATAGTGACTCACAAACAAGATGAAGACAGGATTTTTTGTGGCCAGACTCTTTCTATAATGCAACTTCTGAAATTAAATCAAAGTTATTTGGCATTAAAAGTGAAAGCAAATTGACCCAAAATCGCAGTAGGATCATTTTTGGCCTTAACACTAGAGCACCTATCTTTGTTGTCCCATAAATAGTGTATATAGTGTTTGTACCAACTGAAAGAGCCTTGTTGAAGTAATTTTGCAACAAATCAGACAATAATGGTGTAATTATTATTTTTTAGACAGGAGGACTTTAAGACAATGTTCAGTATATTTATTGAGTTCGGGACTCTAGCAAAAAACTACAACAACAAAAAGCACAAAAACAGAGTCCGATTAGATACTAAACTAAATATTTATAACAAAAATTAATTCAACAGACCTAACGGCTTGGCCCTTAGGACTTTTTTCCCTCTGTGAGAAGCCATCGATTCTTCACGACGTATGATTTCACAAAGACTTTGGCTGCGTGGGCCGACTGTGTTAGCTTAGATCTTGCAACAAAAGACCCTTCAAAAGCACAACTCTCGTGACTCCGGTGCGATAGTACATTCACGGGACAGTGGGGGTTATTTTTTTTTTTTTTTGCGTCCGGACTCCACTTTAGAAGATTAACACTGCGGGCCACAATAGCACATACAGGGGAGCGAGTGGGCCGCTGCCTGGTTAACCATTGCTCCACTCCTCATTGTCTAGTTAGCACCGCTGCTCAGCCCCGCAGACACAGCTCTTGGCAGTTGGAGTGAGCCCCAAAACAATAACCGTCGGCGGGACAGGGGCATAGATGGAGATGTATGGGTCCGGAGAGAGATGGCGGGGGTCCGAGGGTGTATAGCAGGACAGATTGGACACCGCACGACCCCCCATTTCTTGTGTGTGATGTGACAGTGATAAACGGTACTTGCAGGCGTTCAGATCAACAAACAGACACGGCCTCGCTTCCCCAATGCGGCTATGGGCAGGGAGAAAGGAGGCGCCGTCCCATTAGAGCCTGGATTCAATGCTGCTAAAGCAAGGTGGCAGGGGGGGAAACTCATCTCATCTTGAGGACCCCCAACCAAGAGGCTCCTGCCCCGTTTTGTTTTCTTAAAAAGTGTCATAAAAACTACTCTTCCCCCATAAAATTAGCATCTCCAAACTGATTAGATTTCCTCTCCCCTCTGTGAGCATTTTGACCCCATCCGAGCCATTCACTTTCAGCCCTTTCACAGTTTTATTGGACTTCTCGAAAAAAGGAAACTCTTGTAGGACTGCACCCTTTTGGCCTCTCCGTCTCCGCCTCCATTTGACTTAACCAGGTCTGAGCCCCTTCGGAACAATCGCCTTCTGTTACCGCAGCGAAGCCGTGAGAATACGTTGCATGTTGTTATGTTAAAGTCTCAATAGAGGAGTTAGATTTGGTTGTACGGCGGTTTATTTATGGTACGTGGTGTGGCTCATGCCTGGCCCCAACTCGGGATGAGTCGGGAAAGAGTAACAGCAGGGTCAAAAGTAAGCGACAAAAAGCACAAATACATACGAGACAGTGCTTCCATACCACCAGCAGAATCCTGTTTATGGATGTCACAGAAGCAGACAGAGAAATAATCTCATTAACTTTGAATGGCAAGTCTATTACAGAGTTGCATAATGTGGCGCCCCGCTCAGATAATCACCCTCGCACAGAGATAAGGGGATTTGTGATGCTCCAAATCTGAATGAGGCAGTAATGTGCATAAGCCGCCCGGAAAAGTTGTTCCCGTAAGTTTTTTGCTAATCCAAAGCAGCATCTTGATTGAATCCACTGGAAGCCTAAGAAACGTTCAGTTTTTACGAGGGTTGATTTATACACATGCAATATTGTAATGTTAAGAGTCAAATGTATTTAGATAAATATTGTTATAATATATTGTTGTATATGTTGTATGTATGGTGGACTTTCTCACAATCACACCCCTCCCGCCCAAAAAAAAAAATCAGAAACAAAGTCAGGCGGAATGTTAAGAGCTGCAAAAGACTTAAAGTATTGTATCATTTATAAATATATTGTGTCAAAATGTATCTAAAGGAAAGTCTTCTGCATCTAGATTGTATCATGTCAAGTGTGAATTATAATCTGTAATTCTCGCCCAATTATGGGGATATACTAATTTGCTATTGTGAATTTGGATGTACAATTGTAATTCTTTTATTCATGTTTTCTGGATGTACACAGTCCAAGAGGATTGCATTGTGAGACATTAGTTAAACATTTCATTTGGAATGTAATCTTGGACTCCAGGTAGAAAAGTCTTCACAGCTGTAAAGACATTCAGAGTTTGTGAAATTGCTCACAAATACACTTTAAATGAAAGGGCCAATACCAGATTATATTTGAGAATTCTTTGTGGTTATTGTTTTTATAAAGCAGATTCATTAGTGGCATATATTACACAAACTAAGACATTACAGCGGTTACTTTGGAATGATGATTGTCTTTGTTTCAGTCTTTGAAAAACGACAAACAAAAGCTCTGTGTTTAATAATCTTTAACTACCTGATTTACAGGCTGAGTGAGTTCTAACTGTCCCGTTCCCGGCCGCAGTGACAGGCAGCACTGGGAGGGACACAGGAGGTTGTTAGGGAGGACACATCATTCATATTCGCATTTCATGAGGAAAGTCAGGGTTAAGGAGTGGGAACGTATCTCGGTTTTGTGATGCTAAGGGCTGAAGGAGGTGAAACAGGGTTCTCCTAGGCCCCCGACCTGGGACGAGGCCTTTGAAGAGACAGCTCCGAGGGGGACCACCGCTCTGCCTCACAGTCAGCGGGAGCCCGGGACATCAGGGACATCACAGGACATCACAGGACATCACAGGACAGGAGGGACAGGTCCTTTGTGGCTAAAGAAAATGTACGTGTCTCTGGGAGGGACCACAGAAAGGTCACACAGCAAAACAAACAGGCAGGAAGTGCCGGCCTTTCTCTGGCTCAAGAGCCTATTGGAATAATTATGGTAAAAATATTCCAAAACAAACCTGAACTTTGTTTGAAGAGCAGGAGCCAATAGTGGAGGGAACACTTTTGAGAATAGTAACAGGTGTTTTTCACTTCAACATTTGGATCCATTGTTCAAAGATTTAGTTAAACTGGTTTGTAGGAGATGGCAGTGTTTTTGCTCCTGCTGAGAAACAACTGATCTTGAAACTAAATCCAGGGTCTAATCCTAACACAAGTCCACAAATCCAGACCACTGGGGTTTTTCTGTTTGGTTTTTGTGATAGTTGTTCATTTGAGTGTAACAAAATACAAAGCTAAATCATATACTATTTTTTACTTTGAAATTCCATAAGTATTTTTAATACTAGTAACAGGACTGTGGTGATAGTTTAAATTTAGTGCTCAGAGTCTCCCTCCAGTGGTTCGATATGAAACATCTCTCAGCTGTATATCTCAGAACACGTTCTTTAAACCCTCTGTGTGTGTTTTTGAAAAGAATCGTGATGATCATGTCTAAAGCTATTAGCCTTCTTATAAAGACACATATATCACATTCTTATTACCCAAAGGACTAGTTCTTATTTAAAGCCTAAATCATTACACCATCTCCACTGCTCTCATGAATAATGCAGCACAGGCAGCTGATGAGGCACATTAGTTGTCAGGTCGACTTGAGAGGGAGGACTGAGGCGCTCTGACAGTTTGGCCTTTGAAGAAAAAGTCTTGCAACCCATTGGGACTCAGTAAGTCTAGAATCACCTATCCACCTCCATGCAAGACATAAGCAATCTGTTACAGTGCAATTCATATTCATTATTCCAAAAGACTCACTATGTAATTTCATTTAAATATAGAAAAACCGTCTGCTGTTGTTGCAGTGAAAGATTTATATTTCAGATGTAGCTGGAGTGAGTGGGCCACACGTGAGTCCTACATCATTCATATCATGAGTGAATGCAAGAAGCGCTGAAGCTGGAGACCTGAGACACGAGACAATTACAAACCAGAGGAAGTAAAAAAGCCTGCAGGGAAAGGGGAGAGAGGGGAATAAGAAGCCACGGTGCTGCCTGCGTCCTTTGGGATGAATGTAATTACCATGATGATTTTACAATAACACGGTTCCTGGGTATTCTATCATGGTGGTATTAGTAGTTTCATTATAGACTACAGAAGTATTACAGGACTACAGAAGTACTTTCTACAATCTGGCACATTGATAATGTGTGTACAACTTGTTATAATTAGTCATTGATGAGTCAAATAAATAAAATAAATTAGTATCTTCTGATGCCGTTCAGTGGTGCTCTAAAACAGGGGTGTCCAAATTACGGCCTGCGAGCCAAATGCGGCCCGCTGTGTCATTTTATGTGGCCCTTTGCCTTGCTAATACAAAGTAGCCATTGAGGCACTTTCACGACAACATCCAGCCAACTTCAGCTCCACCAATATAGTCAGGTTATACCTCGTTGTAAAGCTCAGATCCTTTGGAATACAGTTGGGACCTTTAATTTGTTATTCTGTATTTACATCATAATCTGTTTTAAAGCCCAAATCCAGTAGAAACAGTTTTAAATGTATAGGGTTGTCAGCCCCTGGACAAGTCTGCTGCCCTCTGACTAAAAAGTTTGGAAATGGATCAATTATTCATCCAATTTTATTTATAAAGACCTTTTCATATATATAAATGCAACACAAAGGGCTTCACATTCTGGTTAAAAACAATCTCATAAGTCCATGTCCCGTCAACCTGACCGTCAACACACACACACACACACACACATACACAGTCACTTCAGATAATATAAAATCGTGAAAAGATAGGGCTGGGTGCATATGTATCCAGCTAAAGAAGCGTCATCCAAGGAGCAATCTGCACCAGGAGCATGAGCCGCCTGCAGCCACAGAGGACGACACAGGACCCAGCGGAGAGAGGAGGCCCCAGACCCCCACCAGGTCCAGGAGAATGTGTGGATGGTGTTTGCTACAGTTATTCACGGCATTTGAAAGGAAATAATTTAGAAAACATTTTTATTATGAAATCGTTAAATGCAGCAAAACAGAGTTCACATAAGAACCAAAACTTCACAAAGTCGCCTCAAAGGACACACGCACATTTCCGCAGCTTTTAATTTCACCCTAAAATCATTTGGTCACAAAACAATCACCGTGTCTCATTACAGGCATCGTCTACGGCAGAATCAGAACGAGATGGACCCAAATACTTCACGGAGGAGCAGGGAGATCATTACAAGAGCCCTCTCATAGTGACAGACAAATTGTGATATTATTACCTTTCATTTCTGTGTAAATCCAGGGTCTCTGTCTGGATAAGAAGACAGCAGAGATGTCCCGGGGCACAGGAAGACACCGCCCCTGTCCCCGTCCCTATGAGGCACGAGAAATAATTGGACTGAGATGGCAGCTTATCCTGTGCTTGGAAAGATGAAGAGAGAGGATGGGCTGGAGGCTAAGTTTGAGCGTCTTCCTTTGTAATTATATCGAGCTAACAAGATCGCATTTGAACAAGATCGGAGAATATTAATTGGACACAAATTCACACCTCAACTTCAAATGTCTATAAATGCGATTTATGGGATTCTGTAGCGATAAGGTCAAGGAAAGGTCGGCCGTTCAAACAAAGTAATACATGATTTACCCCAGAACTAAGTAATCCCAAATCAATGTCACCGTGACATTTAGCTGATGGAAGATTATGGCTTCACCAAGATGTGAGACGGCAGGTTTAACCCGTGTGCCGCCCTCGGGTCAAAAGGATTTTCCACAGTCATTTAAAAGTAGTAGAAAAATACCCAAAGTTAGCGGCTAAAAGGATGTAAATGATCCCGGGTTTGGTCAAGTCAGGAAAGATCATCGAAACCACTGTGGCCATACATTCATGTGAAAGCCAGATCCCGTAAGACCTCTGAAGCTGAGTGGGACAGAGCATGGTAATTTCTGTGATGGGAGACCTCTGGGAACATCAAGTGTCACAGTGTTGTGGCTGTGGCTGTAAAGAGCCAAACTATAGTTGTGTCCTTAAGTAAGATACTTCACCTACTTCATGTGTGTGAATGGCTGGTGGTGCAACT